ACACGTGAAGCACCGTGCGCGTGGTCGTCGAAGTTCTTGGCCGCTCGTTGTAAGAAGGGCGTTTCTTTCTAACACTTCGGCTTGGATGGTTTGTAGTACCGTGCTGTTTGCAGGATGCCCAAGGCATTGGTGCCAGATGTCGTCGGGGGCGCGATGGCCGGGCGAGCGTTGGTACATGTCGGCGTTGGAGAAGAACGCGACAACCGTGGCGGGACTTCGGCAGACTTCACGTGTGATGGGAATAAGTTGATCTGCTTCGGTTGGCGGTCCTCGGGTCGCTGGTGATGGTACTCGGCTGGGTCCTGCTGCTGCTACTGTCTGGGAAGAGACGCTTGCTGGTACTTGTCTTTCTTGTCTGATGACTGCTAACGCTCGTGTTCTTTCTGCGGCAGGTATGGTATTGGAGTGCCAGTATCCATATGGGGTGAAGTCGGGGTCAAGATCCGGCGGGTGCGTCCAGGCTGCGGAAGACACGATGCCATCGCTGTCGGCAGTACCGCGGTCGGGGACGAAATCCAACACGAAGACGCCCGACTTCAGGAGAGCGCGACCGATGAAAAGACCGCCCTTCCCGTGGTAAAGTCGAAATTTGTTGGAGTACGAGTCGCATTCCAGGTGAATCCCTTTGGTCATTAACTGGCTGACGCTGAGTAAGTTGTATCCCAAGTTGTCGACGATTAGAACTTTGTTGAGTTGTAGTATGACGTTCGTCTCCATTGACTGAAGTTGAAGGACGCCTTGTCTGTTTGTCTTCAGGTTCTCGTTGTTTGCGACGGTGATGATGACGTCGCGGTTGAGGCGTCGCTCTCGCTGCACGAAACGCCCGGAAGAAGACATGTGTTGACCGCAGGAACTATCCAAGAACCAGGTGTTTCGCCCAGTGGGTTCGGCATTGGCGGCTGCAGCGTATGTCGGTTTAACCTGAAGTCCTTGTGAGCGTGGCGGCGGCAGTTCTTCTTCATCTGGAGCGTAAGTTGGTGGTGAGCCGGGTGCACAGTTGTCGATGTGTACCATGCAATTGATGATGTTTGGTGTGCCTTGTGCAGATGTGGAGGAACGTCTCGGTGGGCTTTCTTGAGTGGAGGCGATTTGCGGGTTTACTGGACGATAAGCTCGGGGACGTGTGCCGTTGACTTTGGAGTGTCCGGATGTTTGGCAGTTGTAGCAGAACGGCGGCACAATGGTGAGTCCTCTGTTGTCACGTTGCTCTTGCTTGCCGCGTCGATTGTAGTTGTTGTCGTTTCTTCGTTGAGTATAGAAGACTAACGGTTGCTGCTTTCTTGGTTGTCTTTCTTCAAACAGGTCCATCTCCTGTTGTTCAGCATGGAGCTCGGCGCAGAAGTGCATCTCCGAGATTCGTCCGTGGGCGCGAAGGAGCGAGCGGGTGGTTCTCCATTCTGGCCCGAGCCAGCGAGTACAAGCGTCACGAAGCTTTCTTCAGTGATTGTTCCTCCGCACCGAAGCAGGTGGTCGCGGAGTGTCTGGCATCGATTCATATACTGCATCGCTTTTTCTCCGGTCTTCATCTGTATTGTTGTCAGTTACTGCATGAGTCTGCTTTGTGTCACGCTATCGTTTGCTTGGTAGAGACACTTGAGATGAGGCCATGCGAGTTCCGCGGAGTTTCCATAGCTTCGATACATTCTGATGCTTTGCTGTTCTTGTGGTGACAGGTTCCGCAGGAGAACTGTGTACGCCAACAGCGACTGATACGTAAAAATTTCTTGCTCTTTCGCAGTGCCATTGCTTGGAAATGGCAGGGACCCGTTGAAGTATCCCAAGAGGTGTGCAGCCTCCATCAGCAGCTCGAACTCAAAGCTCCAGGTAAAGAAGTCGTGTCCGTTGAACGGTGAGGATGTCTGCAGTTTGATAACGTGTGAAAACTGCGCCTGGAGACTCAGTATCTCGTTTGGTGTCTGTTGTGATGCAGCTGCTGTTGGTTGGGCACAGGGCGGCATGAACTCGAACGTCCCCGGTGAAGAGTGATAAGGCGCAAAGGTGGGCGCTTGATTGTGTCGCCCAAACGATGAGTTGTCGAGGCTCATCGGCGCTAATCCCATGTTTCCTCTGTTGCTCTGTGTTGAATGAGTAGGTGTCCTTGTCTGCTGCTGCTGGTCGAAGTGTGACATGAAGCTGAAGAACCTTTCCATAAGGTTCGGGTCGACGCTTGAAGAGGGTGATGGGGTCACAATTCCGGGTGCTCTTCCTGTTGTTTCTTGAGCAGCACCGGTCTCGGATTGCAGTCCTGAAGTGTGTAATCCAGAGTTGCCGGGTTGTGTGTCTTGGGCGCTGAGTGAGCCCGTAGAGGTCTTTTTGCCCTTGTTGTCCATGACTTGTAATCAATGAAGTTTGTTGAGGTGTTGACTGTAGATAGACGTTGTTGCTGGGAGTTTGGTCTCTGACCAGCTCTCATACCATATTGGGCTGAGAAATGCCCTTAGGATCTTTCCAAAGACTAAGTCCCAGTTGTAAAAGAGAGACTTGAGTGGTGCAGCGGAAGTTGAGTAGTTGAACCCTTGTACTAGTATGTGAGAACAAGTGATTGATTGAAAGGAACAAGCATACAGCAATATATAGAAAGTGGGAAAGTAAAGCAGTTGTAGAATACAGTTGAAGGGCGGTTATCGAGTCGCACAGCGACTCGATTGTTGCTTCGGTTACCATCCTTGCAGTTGTAACGGTCAGTCGCAACCTCTGGTTGCGACCCTTCGAGTACTTTCGTGTTCTTTGTCCAACCCCTCGTGTAACCTCCGTTGACTCGCGTACCCGTTACGATCTTCTTCGAGTGTGGTGTTACACTTCAGAAACGCTTAAGTCCTTGAGGTATTTCCAACAGTATTGCATAGATAGGTAGGCTAGGGTTAGTCTTAAAATATATATTTGATATATATAATGGTAGGCTTGGTAGGTGTTACGGGATCTTGCTGTAGAGGGTACAACCCCCCTTCTTGTATCCCTCTCTCTTCTTTTCAAAGACCCTCTCTTCTCTCGACATTTCCTCTCCTTCCAAAACCTCTCGCCATTCATGGCGTCTCGTCCTAGTTGGATTAGTTTGTGACAGTTAGAAGTTCCAAGGATGCACGTGACAAGGTAAGCTAGCTAGGAAGAGACGCCATGAATGGCGAGAGATCTTAGGTGCTAGGAAAATGTCGAGAGAGAAGAAGTGATATACTAGAAGAGAGAGGGGCACAAGAAGGGGGGTTGTACCCTCTACAGTAGGATCCAGTAACACCTACCAAGCCTACAATTAGATATATAATATATATAATTTAACACACCCCCTAGGCTTGGTAGTGACAAGCCCATCCCACCCGCAACACCTCTAAGCCTAGCACCCCCATACCCTGCAGCAGAGGTAACTACAGGGAAGGAAGGCGCTAGGCATCCTTGAGCTGCGGCGGGGCGGAGCTAGCTGGCGTGGCGAGCTGGGACCGACGCTGCGAGCTGGGACCGACGCAGCGAGCTGGGTCCGACACAGCGAGCTCGGTCCGACACAGCAAGCAGGGTCTGACACGGCGAGCGGGGTCCGACACGACGAGCTGGGGGGGGGCGAGCTAGAGTGAGGGCTTGCTGCATGGAGCCTAAACCAGTGCGCGGCCCACTGCTGCCCGTGCGCTGACGCGACGACGGCGGCACGACGAAGCCGCCACGATGTAGTGTCGAAGCCATAGCAGCACGTCGAGGCTGCCACGGCAGCACGACGAAGCCGTTATGGCAGCCCGACATGGCCGCCACGGAAGTAACAAGAGGGGAATGGGAACGCGGCGGAAGCGTGAGGAGGCGGCCCAACAGGGCGGACCTCCTGATCTGAAACCATGTCAAGATAAGCTAGCTAGGAAGAGACGACATGAGTGGCGAGAGGTTTTAGGTGCTAGGAAAATGTCGAGAGAGAAGAAGTGATAGAGTAGATGAGAGAGGGGTACAAGAAGGGGGGTTTGTTAAAGTAAGCTAGGATCTAGGTAGGAGGGAAGCCATAGAAATGGCGAGAGGTTTTAGACTAGGAAAGTTGACGAAAGAAAAGGGGTCGAGAATAGAAGAGAGAGGGATACAAGGAGGGGTGTTGTACCCTCTACAGTAGGTTTCAGTAACGCCTACCAAGCCTACAATTATATAACATATATATAATTGAACACACCCCCTAGGCTTGGTAGTTGAAGAACCCACACACACCCTCACCCCCTAACCTAGCGCCCCATTTCCCAGCAGCAGCCGCGATGACTCCGGAAGCGGTCAGCACCCACGGCCCGGGAGATGGCAATGGCGGCAGGCATAGCAGTGACGAGAGCGACGGCGGCGGTGTGCGGCGGCAACTGGCCAGCGGCAACAGCGGTAGCGGCGGCGGCTTCAATGTCAGAGGTGGCTGCAGTGGCCCCCGCCCTTTCGGCGGCATAGCCTACCTCATAACGGCTATGGGACGGCCCTCACGAGGCAGTCGACAGCTGTGGCAAGGAAGAGGGGACGCAGGGGAAGGAGGGGGTGCGGGGGGGTGGGGGGGCATCGATGCCACGGCGGGATGTCGATGCTGCAACTGCAGCACGACGGCGCCGTCACGCCGCCACGGCTGGACGTCGGCAACGTCGCCACGGCTGGACGTCGACGGCGCCGCCACGGCTGGACGTCGACGCCACGACAGCGCGACGCCACGGCAGCGCGTCGAGACGGCCGCGGCACGACGCAGTCAGCGGCACGACGACGCCGCCACAGCAGCACGACGCGGCCGCCATGGCAGCGCGAGAAGAAGAGGAGGAGTGCGCGGTGGAAGCTAGGGAGCAGGCCCGGGTAGGGCGACCTGCTCTGTTACCATGTGAAAGTAAGCTAGGATCTAGGTAGGAGGGAAACCATAGAAATGGTGAGAGGTTTTAGGCTAGGAAAGTTGAGAGAAAAGGGGTCGAGAATAGAAGGGAGAGGGATACGAGGGGTGTTGTACCCTCTACAATAGGTTTCAATAATGCCTACCAAGCCTACAATGATGTAACATATATATAATTCAGCAAGGTTGTACCCTCTACAATAGGATCCAATAGCACCAACCAAGCATACAATGATATATATAAAATATATAATTTAACAGCAAGGACTGTATGTACGGTACTGCAAGCATGCACCGTCATACTACAGCGGGAATCACATCAACGAGCATACAAGACAATGCATACTATGGTGTACACAGTGAAGAAAACAAAGGCGCAAACCGCGTCAATCGTCACAGCAAGCTTATAGTTAACCTCATCCTCGTGCCCCTCTGTCCTGGGCTTGTAACGATAACCAATGTGCTGAAGGCATCCCCAAGGCTGCTAGCAGGAGGGTACGAGCCAGTGGAAACAGAGCGGTTGAGAGATCAGTAGCGAGAAAGACATCTTGCCTACCAGGGAGGTGCAGGAAACAAGGTTGAGACTCAAGCATCAACAGGAAAACTAGAAACTCCAGCTACCAGAAGAAGTTTCGATGCGGTGCAAAACGCGAGCGCCCAATTGAGCCAGCAGTGGAAAAAGGTTCGACGTACCGCTAACATACATGCTCTCAATCTCGTTCATTCTGAATAACATATCAATAGCCCATACATACCCAAAACCCAAACAAGCCCATAGCACAGCAATCCCAAGGCCCAGACATACCCATATGCCGCCGCACTTCTTTCTGCCTGGGGTTTCGTGCGCTTCTGCAGGCCCCGCCCCCACCCCCGCCCCATCACCCATCTCCGCCTGTTTCGCCCGCAGCTCCTCCCGCTCCTCCGCACTAGCCTCACTCCCGCCCTCCTCTCCCCGGGCGGCAGCGGCGCCGGGCGGCGGCTGCGCCTTCATGAGCTCCACGGAGAGCGTGTTGTAGGCGTCGTGCGCGGTTGCCGTGGCCGGCAGCGCGGGGCGGTGCGACCCAAAGCGCTTGCTCACTTCCTTTACCACGTCCTTCTCTATCTGCACCGGGGGTGGTACGGTGTGGTGGTGACGGGAGTGCGGGGATGGGAGGGAGTTGATGGTGTGTGGAGGGGTGTCTGGGGAGAGATGCATGCTGCTCACTGTGGTTGGGGGAGATGTGGAACGGTTGGAGAGAGGGGTCTGGGAGCAACCTGGGAGTTACCACCGGGAGCGCTGCACCTGGAACGGGATTAAGGCCTTAGTATGGCGGTGTTGCACCTCGAGTAGAGAGTGAGAGGAGGAGGGGTGGGAAAGAGGCGTGCTTTAGGGATACGAGGAGAGTAGAGATTGCAGGGATTGGAGGGGTATGAGGAGAGTAGAGTTTGCATGGATTGGAGGGATATGAGGTGAAAGTGTAAAGCATTGGGGTGCGGGAAACAGGAGGAAGTCAGCTGACAACAGGTGCCTGGCAACAGTTTTGAGGCGCCTCAAAATCTGCCTGACAACAGCTGCCTGGCAACATCTGCCTGGCAACAGGCAACAGCTGCCTGGCAACATCTGTTTGAGAGACTAACCCTCCCTGATAAGAGGACTCACCCTCCCTTCTTCACTCACCCTCTCCCCTTCGCACCCTCTCACCCTTCACACCCTCTCCCCCGCTCTCCCTCTCCCCCTCTCCCCCTCTCCCCCTCTCCCCCTCTCCCCCTCTCCCCTCGCCCCTCTCACCCGCTCGGCAAGCCAGAAGACGACGACGGACTCGATGGTGGCGAGCATGATGAAGATGTAGGACGTGATCACCAGGTACCCAAACTGCGTTATGCTCGACGTGCGCGGCAGCTGGGGGGGCACCGCACATGCGGTGGGAGGGAGGGATGGGAGGGAGTGTGGCAAGAGAAGCATGCATGGGCTCGCCAGCAGGGACATGCCAGCAGGGACATGCCAGCAGGGACATGCCAGCAAGGACATGCCATGCAAACAAGTACACAAATGCCATAGGGGATGAACGAAACGGGGAAGGTGACAGCCGCTATGTGTGCGCGTGTGTGCATGCATGCATGCGTGGCAGCCCCTATGCGCGTGCATGTGTGCATGCATGCATGCGTGGCAACCCCTATGTGTGTGTATGTATGCATGCGTGGCAGCCCCTATGTGCGTGTATGCATGCATGCGTGGCAGCCCCTATGTGTGTGTATGCATGCATGCGTGGCAGCCCCTATGTGTGTGTATGCATGCATGCATGGCAGCCCCTATGTGTGTGCATGCATGCATGCGTGGCAGCCCCTATGTGTGTGTATGCATGCATGCATGGCAGCCCCTATGTGTGTGCATGCATGCATGCGTGGCAACCCCTATGTGTGTGCATGCATGCATGCGTGGTAGCCCCTATGTGTGTGCATGCATGCATGCGTGGTAGCCCCTATGTGTGTGCATGCATGCATGCATGGCAACCCCTATGTGTGTGCATGCATGCATGCATGGCAGCCCCTATGTGTGTGCATGCATGCATGCGTGGCAGCCCCTATGTGTGTGTATGCATGCATGCATGGCAGCCCCTATGTGTGTGCATGCATGCATGCGTGGTAGCCCCTATGTGTGTGCATGCATGCATGCGTGGTAGCCCCTATGTGTGTGCATGCATGCATGCGTGGTAGCCCCTATGTGTGTGCATGCATGCATGCGTGGCAGCCCCTATGTGTGTGTATGCATGCATGCATGGCAGCCCCTATGTGTGTGCATGCATGCATGCGTGGTAGCCCCTATGTGTGTGCATGCATGCATGCTGGAGCAGCAGCCCACCTGGGTATCGATGATGATGACCAACGGCACGAGAGCACGGGAGCACGAGAGCATGAGAGCATGAGAGCACGAGAGCATGAGAGCATGAGAGCATGAGAGCATGGGAGCACGAGAGCATGAGAGCATGAGAGCATGAGATGCACAAGTGCGTGAGGATGACCAGCCGTGCCATGCAAGGCCCACCTGGCTGTGGATGACCAACTGCACGGCTGCGCATGTGGATGGGAGAAGCCATGGTGCATGTGTTCACAGCCATGGGCTTCCCCACCTGCCTGTCGACCCACTGCAAGGCAGGCCCACCTGGCTGTCGATGACGAACTGCACGGCAGCGAGGGCGAGGAAGAGCGTCACACACGTGGCAGAGCGGAGCTCCAGGTCCTCGGGCTTAGCGAAAAACACCGAGAAGGTCAGATACACGCTCAGCATCACCGGCAGAATCACCTGCCAGGGCCGGGGAGAGACGGGAGGGGAGGCGGGAGAGATGGGCTTGCTTTTGATGTGCGGCAAATGAGGGCTGCGATGAGAGAGGAAAAACGAGAGAGAGGAGGAGAGACGATGGATGAGAGCTAAGAGAGGGTTGCGGGTCGAGTTAGTTTTTACTGACGAGAAGTAGGAGGTGGGTGGTGTAGGCTGGAGGGTTGCGGGTGGGTAAGATGCTACTGCTGATGGAATGGAGCGCTCGTTAAAGAGAGAGAGAGAGAGAAATGCAGGAGATGCAGGCAGGCAGGCAGTGAGGGGAAGGGAGATTAGCGACGGAGAGAGTGAGCGAGCAGGGCAGGGGCATAGGGGTATGGGCAGGGGCGGACGGGTAGGGTAGGGTAGGGTAGGGTAGGGGGGGGCGGGGTGGGGCAGGGGGGAGCAATTGGTACCGACCGAGAGGACGTAGACGGGGCTGGTGCGCGAGATGGTGATGACAAACACACACGTGGTGGGCTTTGACGGGTCCTCCGGCGCCCCATTGCTGCTCACCTGCGCCCAGGGATCCTCTGAGCATTGGGGGAGGGGGAAGAAGGGGGGGTGGGGGGTGCGGGAATGAGTGAGTGAGAGACAGAAGGGGGTTCGCTGTTGCATGCGTGTGCCCTGTACTTCTTTCCCATTGCAATCCACCTGCCAGTCCTCCTACAACTTCGTCTCACCTCTTCGCTCCTCCTCTTGAAAGGGCAAAAATGATCCTATACCCAAAACCCATAAGTTGGAGCTGCAAACCCCAGTGGTATTCCCCACCTTTAGCGTAGGTAGGTAGATAGGTAGGTAGGTAGGTAGGTAGATAGGTAGGAAGGTCGGTAGGTAGATCGGTAGGTAGGTCGGTAGCAGAACCTGCCTCTTCCCCACTGTCGTCAGAGGCTCCGGTAGTAGCAGCGGTGGAGCACGCATGGCAAGGCACGCGCCACCTCTCGTCTCCCCGAGTATGAATATGACAGCTGTCATGCTTTCCCCTTTTCTCCCCCTCTTCTTAGCTATCCTTCCTCCCTGTTCCCCTTCTTCCTTTGTCCATTCCTCCTTTGGTAGGTAATGACTGCTGCTGTGGGACCAAGCGCCCTTGCCCCTCCCTGGTTGAATCGAACCCTTCCTTCGCTTCAACCATGGGATCCTTCTGCTTGGTCCTGCGCTCTCTGGCTGCTGCTACATTCGTAACATGCTCTCTTCGCCTCTCTCCCTTCTCATTCTCCAGCACCAACACGCCAGATGAGCGTATCTCCAGCACGCGCCACCTCTCTTCTCCCACTGACATTTCTAGTGTGTCCTTCCGTACCTTTCTCAGGTACACAGCTCTCCCTATTGCCACGTTACTAGCTGTCCCACCTGCCTCTCTTTCTCGCCGCTGCTGGTACCTACGTGCATCTCTTAGCTATGCTATGTGCAGATTCTCCAGGGCTGCCGGCATCAGCTCCTTCAAATACTCCCCTCTTCGCATAGCCTTAGCTCCCCTTCGCTCATTGACTCGGTGAGTAGCTTGGGCACGTCCACGGGCAGCACAGGCTCTCCTCCGTACAGCAAGTGATACGAGGACATGTCCTCCAGAGCTGACTGCTTAGCAAACCGATAGCCTGCCAGCACCCATGGCAGCTCTGCATCCCACTCTCTCTTTTTCTGCTCTCCGTACACCCGCAGTCCTCTTTTGATCGTCTGTATCATCCGTTCTGTCAACCTGTTGGACTCAGGATGGTACCGTGAGGTCACTTTGTGCGTAATGCCTACCTCCTTAAGAGCTCCGCGAAGCTGCCTTGGAACTCGGTGCCCTGGTCTGTCAGCACCTCCCGCATGCCCCAAACCTGGTGAGAATTTGATCCAGAAATGCTTCTCGGATCAGTCCACTATTCTTGCTGGCTATAGCCCGCGCCTCCACCCATTTCGTTGTATGCTCTATCATCACGACAATGTACATCTTTCCTCGCCTGGATAGAGGTAGTTCGCCCGCCAAATCCAAGGACCACCTGAATCGTTGGCCCCGTATGGGCAGTGACTGCAATTCCTCCCTGCCCTTCTCCAGCGCTGCCTTATTCCACTGGCACGCCTCACACCCCTGTACCCACCGCGCCACCTCTCCTCATTCCCGCCCACCAGTAGGTGGTGCTTAGTAACTGCCTAGTCCTGGCTCCTCCATAATGCCCTAGCTTCTCATGCACTTGTTGTACGATCTGCTCCCTTTCTTCTGGCTTCGGCACCACCTTCCATCCTTCCGACGTGCGCAACAAAATCTGACTCTGAAACTAACGGTAATGCCCTCCTCTATTCCTCGCCCTTGCACTCACTGCTGCTGTGTCTTCGGTCAATCCTTGCACCCAATGGAGTGTCTCCTGGTCTTGCCATATATCCGCGGCTTTTGTTCCTTCAGCTCCTGCACCTCTCTCTTCTCTTCTCCCACTGCTGCCACAGCTACTCATTGCTGCTCTATTGCTGGGGGTGGATTCCGGGACAGCCCGTCCGCATGCTGTAGCGTCTTTCCTGCGCGATGTTTGATAAGGAAGTCGTACTCTTGCAGTCGCATCGCCCACCGTGCATTCCGCCCCGTCAGAGATCGGTTGGTCATCAGCCACAAGAGTGGCTGGTGATCTGTTATCAGCGTGAATCTCTGCCCTTGCAGGTAGGCCCTGAAGTGTGTTACTCCCCATACAGCTGCCAGTCCTTCCCCTTCGTAGGAACTGTAGTTGGCTTCTGTTGCTATGCAGCTTCGATTGGCATAGGCCACCACTCGCTCTTCTCCCTCCACCTCTTGACACAATACAGCTCCCATGCCCATGCTGCTCCAGTCCGTGTAAAGCGTGAACGGTGCGTCTCTCTTTAGCAGCTGCAGCACCGTTCCTGCTTTGATAGCCTCGAGCAGATCCCTTCTCGCCTGCTCCTCCTCTGGTCCCCACTTCCAGGCTTGCCCCTCCCTCAGCAGCTGGTTCAGCCTGTGAGCTCTCTTGCTGAAATTGGGGATGAAGCGTCGATAGTAGTTCAAGAATCCCAGGAGTGCTCTCAGTGCTCCCTTGCCTTTCGGTGCCCTCAGCTTATCAAGCACTGCCACCTTCGCCTCCTGGATACCCATTTTTCCTCCTTGAACTTCAAATCCCAGGTACCCAATGGCCCTACTAGCTATCTTGCACTTCTCCGGATGACAGGTTAGTCCCGCGGCTGCTATCGCGTCAAGTGTTGCTCTCAGATGCTCTGCATGTTCCTCCTCACTCTTGCTGTAGATCAACACGTCGTCAATATAACATGCTGCTGATGGTACTGTTTTAAGTACCTGATCCATGACTCTTTGGAACACGGCTGATGCGTTCCTCAGCCCGAACGGCATCACGTTCCATTCGTACAGGCCGTCCACTCCATGAAAGGCGGTCTTGCATTTGTCTTCTTCCTTAATTACTATCTGATTGAACCCCTATCGCATGTCCAGCATTGAAAAGATGACTACTCCTTCCAGCCTGTCGAAGTTCTCTTCTGCTGTTGGCATGCTGTATCGATCTGCTTTGGTATGCGATTTAACTCCCGGTAGTCGCCGCACATTCTTCTAGCTAGTACTTCTCCTGTCAAGTCTGTCCTCACTGCCACCACCGTAGCTGCTGCGTATGCCGAGTTCGATGGTCATATCAGTCCCGCACCTAACAGCTCTTTGCATTTGCCACGGCATATCTCTTCGTCTCCGGGGCTCATCCGCCACCTCTTCTCGTAGATGGGCACTGTGGTATCTAGTGATAGCTCGAGTTCGTGTAGCTTGCACTTCCTCAGGTCTTGCATGGTGTACGCGAAAGTCTTCTGATGCTCTGCCAACACTTGCTGGATCGCTGCTGCCACCTTATTGTCCAGGTCAGGGCTCATATCCCACTGTCTTCGGCCTTCCTATTCTGTCTCCTCTCCGCTCTTTGCGTCTTTTACCTCTTCTTCCTTCTCTTCCTGTGTCAGGTATGCTCGGCTAGCCTTGATCTGTTCACTGCTCCCTCTTCCCGCCTGCCCTCTCGGCTCCTCTTCGTCCTGCTGCTGTACCATCTCCTTTAACAGCCACCGTAACGCATGCTGGTCCATTGCCCACCCCAGGGCTGCCCTTCGCTCTTGCTCTTGTACTCCTCGATCAGCTATTGCCCCCAGTATGTATCCCATTGCCTGTTCTCGCTCGGTCGCTATACGTTTTTCCCACTGTTCTCTTTCTCTGTCATAAACCATGCCTGGTCCCGGCTTGCCTTCTTCCATCACAAACCCTCGGGCTCCTTCGTAGGCCACCAAGGTAGGCCATAATCTTCTTGGCTCGCCCGGTTCATTGCATTGCAGCTGCTTAGGGTGGTCTCGCTTTTCCACCGGGGCCGGCGTTCGCCCAGGTCCTAGAATGTCCTCCACCAGCAAATTCGGATCTCTTCTCAGATCAGCCGGTCCTCGCTTCAGCTTCTCAGTCTCCACAGCGTTCTGCTAGTATCTTCTTACCCGCCTTGCCCTTGCTCCATTCAGCGCGGCATCCCAACTCACGCCTGCCCCCAGCTCCGCCACTACCTTCTCCTGTGTTGCTCTCACTGGTTCTCTCGGGTCTCCCACCATGTCTACATGCTCCACTATGTAACACCACCTCGATCCCCCTTCCTTAATCCACCTTAGCACTTGCAGTAGCTCATCCAGCAGCGCCGTGCGTGAGTCTCCCATTCCCCGCCCCTTTCTCGCTCGCGATGTGCCCTGACATTCCCATCCTGCCACCACGAGATCTACCTGACCCCATCCCCATACCGTTGTCTCGTTCAGTTGGCGCACATCCCATGCTCCTTCACGTTTAGCCTCCTCTATCACCGCTTTGCCGATTTGCCCCGGATACCTTCGCCGTAGCTGCTCCGCATGATGCCAGGCCATGCGCCTAGCTGTTGGGTCTATTTCCACCAAGATCCATTTCTGCACGACCAGTACCGCCTCCAGGGTCGCTGCTAACCCTGCTCCTATGCCTCCGAAGAGCTCTACTAGTGTGATCGGCCGTTCGCTTAGCGTTGCTTCCACCAGCTGAATGAGGGTTTCTGTCTTGCCCTGTACGGCTCCCTTCACCCCATTTTCGTTCCTTTCCTCCCCTGCCCTCCGCTGAGGCTCGGTGGCTCTTAGGGCCTTCCGAGGCTCCATCTTCACAAATCGCACCGGCAGCTCTCCCTGCGCCCCTCCCTCCTTCCATTACTCGGTTCTGAAGGTGAGCTTCTCCCCCCAAGCGTCAATCTGTGCTCCGATCTTGTAGATAAACTCCATTCGTACTAGCAAATCGTAGTCGTCTGATTCAGACAGCCCGCACTGTACCCGAATCTTAGTCTCCTCTTTCTGCCCTGGTAGCAGGGCATTCTCAACTGATTCCTTCGTGCTCGGCATCCACTTGGGTGGCCCGCCTTCCGCCGTCATGATAAGCATCCCCTTGCTAACTGTCTCCAGCTTCCCTTGCTGCCTCAGCCGCTCGGCTAACTTCCTCCCCATTAGTACACTCTGGGCTCCGGTATCAATGATAGCATTCTCCACTTTCATCCCTTGTACTGCGACGGTCCCAGATTCTGCCAGTAGCGCGGTCGTCAGACACACCAATCCATCTTCGGGATGGCGCTTAGCTCGTTCTCCCTTCTCCTCTACCGTCTCTCCTTTCCTCCTGCCTTGCGTCACCGTCTTCTGCTCCTTCCTACCGACTGCACCTCTGCTCCTCAGTCCCAGCTCATCTCTCTCGCGCGGTAGCATCGCTACCAAGGCATACTCGGACTCTGGATCCTCCTCATACTTTGCGTCATCCTCGTCATCTTCCCATGCCATCATGGCCTTTGCAGGATCTTCTCTGATTTCTGTTTTTCCCAGCTGTGCCTTCAGCTCCTGCTCCTGCTCCTGCTCCTGCTCCTGCTCCAGCTCCTGCTCTCTCGTAGATTTCCCCATTTGTCCTCCTCCCCTCCTGTAGCACTGGCTACTGATGTGCCCTCACTTTCCGCACTCGTTACAGGTGGGGGCTCTTGGGCAGTTTCTCCTGAAGTGACCCATTTGCCCGCAGTGGTCACACTTGATGCCCACTCCGCAGTCCTTGCGTAAATGTCCAGCCTCCTCGCACTTGTGGCAGCGACGCTCGTCTCTCGGTCTCTCCTGCTTTTCTTCTTCTGACCGCCGTGCTTCTGCCGCCGACCACATCGGCCTTCTCCGTTCTGCAGGCCTCCGAGCTCCCCTCATCATATCAACATATCGCCTTCCTTCTTCTGCCTCTTTAGCGATCTGGTATACCTGCCTCAGCGTGGCTCTAGACCGAATTGGGTATAGTGCGCCCCGCATCTCATTTACTCATTCTTCATCTAATCCTCCCAAGAACTTTGTGACCATGAGTCGGTCCTCCAGACAGTTGAGATCTTCTGCTAACTCCACTAGCCTGTTATAATAGGCCAGCAATGATTCCCCTCTACCTCTCCGAAACTCGCTGAACTCCGCCACCCTCTCGGCAGTGTCGCCTGGGAATTGCTCTCGTAGGATGTCATAGAATTCTTCTATCAGCTTGCGAGGCGGAATCTCCCCCCGCTCACACAGTCGGAGCAACCTTGCCCGTTCCACTTGGTAGTGCGTCTGTGCTTCCCCTCGAAGCGTCTTTCCCAGGCCCCTAAAGAACTCCACTGGATCCAGCCCTTCTCAATCCCAGCAGTAGCGAATGTCTTCAATCAGCATGATGTAGTTTTTTAGGGATGGTTCTTCCCCTGGCACACCCAAAAACCTCTCTGGCACTTCTATCTTGGGAGCGCTGGCGACTGCTGACCGTCCGCTCTCCCAGGAACTCGCTCTTCCTGCTTCGCCCGCAGCGTATCCTCCGGCCGCCCGCTCTGACATAGATCTAGGTCCTTACCCCTTCGACGGTACATCCAGCATTCTTTCTTCTTCCTTCCCCACTTCGTCTTGCTCCCGCAGTCCTTCTCCACGCCGCGCTACTCCGCTCGTATTCAGTCCCGATCCGGCTTGAGTCCGCAGCTCTGGCGAGATTACGTTTTCCCCGCGCGGATCCCGTTCTGATCCGCCATGACTCTGCAGATCTGGAGATCCCCTGTCTTCTCCGCGTGGGACTCCTGATCTCGCTGCCGCTGAAGCGTCCGCTTCACGTTCATCGGGCTCATGTGGTCCTGCACGGTACACCGGACGCAGAGGAGGCTGCACGTCCTCCCCCATGCTCCTCGCTGGATACCTCGTCCCCGATCTGAGACGACGCCCCTCGGGACTCGTTTCCCGACTCATCTCTGCGCGCGTCGCGACGCGCCCTTCGCCCCTTTTTCTCGCTTGTATGTTACAAGCCTCTCCCTGGCTGCTCAGATCCACTTGGGACCGAATTCCCGTACTGCTGGACTCTAGTAGGCGTAGGGTGTAATTGCAGTATAGTAGGAAAACATACAAGCGAGAAACGATTAGCCTACTGAGTGTCGAGCTATTTACACTTCCCTCTCCCCTGCTCCACTGCCTTCCTCCTTTCCTTTCCTTGGGAACTGAGATTCCCTGGGCCCGACCTTGCGTCAGATGGGGCTGCTGCTGACGCCCTCCACCTCTTCCTTGCTCACGCCTCGAAATTGTGATGTTCCCTATCCCCGCGCCTCGATCCCTGCGCTCCTTCATATTTTGTACAGTACTGTACTGTACCTCTCCCTCCCGCTCCTTTTATTACAATTATAATTGTCATCTCTTTCTCTCAATAATTCTCTACTACACTCACCTCTTCCCCTGCTCCTGTGTTAACCGCAGGAAGGCTCATGCCTTTCTACGGGTAACGCGACACAGACAGCCCCATCTTGTCCTAGGCGCTCTTGGAGAATATTTTTAACACGCCTCAAAAATAGATCTTGTTGGAGGTGCTCTTGGAGAATCTAAAGAAGAAGACAAGGCAGTGAAGCGCCACCTCTCCCCCACCTTGATGGCCCCTCACCATGCGTTCCTCTCACCTTTAGCGAGCGAGGTCAAAGGCACACTTCAAGGTCAGCTTAGTAGCGGGGTGGAGCAGGTCAGAGGCACACTTCAAGGTCAGCTTAGTAGCGGGGTGGAGCAGGTCAGAGGCACACTTTCAGACACACCCGAAAGTCCGCACCTGTAGCGTGCATATGTAGCGAGGCCTGAAAAATAAATGGTGGACGAGGCCGTGGGGCAGCTGAGCCCCATGCGGTCGATCCTCCACCTCGTCACCCCTTCACCCCTTCACCCCTACCCATCGCTCGAGAACTCTCGGGTCCCTCCTGCCATGCACCCCCATGGGGTCCCTCCCGGAGCTGCCCCTCAGGTGCCCCACCCACTCCCTCTCTCCATGCCCCACCCTGCCCATCCCATACGCTCCACTTCCCAGCCCTCCTCCCCCTCCCCCTCCCCTCTCCCACCCTCTCCCCCTCCACCCCACTTTCCGTTCCCACCTTTAGCGTAGGTAGGGAGGTCCGAGACTGCGGTGTTGGAGGCGGCGGCGGAGCAGTTGAGCCCCACGCGGTCGATATTCCACCCCTCCCACACCCATACCCTTGCAGCCCCTCATCACGCGTGTTCCTCCCACCTTTAGCATAGGTGGCAAGATCTGAGACAGCGGTGTTGGAGGAGGCCGCGGAGCAGTTGAGCCCCACGCGGTCGATCTTCCACCCTGTCACCTCGTCCGTGGAGAAGCCGCCCCCGCCGCCCCCGCTGAGCCCCTTTGACGCCTGCTCCTGCTGCCGCCCCGAGTTGCTCGACACCAGGTAGATGCTCCCGCTCTCCACCGTCACTGTGAACCGCAGGTCCTGGAGAAAGGGGGGGAAAGAGGGGGGGGGGTGGGGGGGTTTGTGTGGGGAGAAAAGGGGGGTTTTCCTGTGTGGATTGCAGGGGAGATGGGAAGCATGTTTTCACTGGGAGTGAACTGCATGTCCCGGGAGAGATTTGAGGAGAATGCAGGGAGGGGTTGGAAGCGGGGAGGAGGAAGCTATGTAGATGCTCCCCCTCTCCACTGCTATCGTGAACCATCGCATGTCCTCTGGGGGGGGGGAGAGGGGGTGTTGGCGGGAGAATGTTGGTTCTGTGTCAACCCGGGCAAGGGGGTTAATGAGTCTGTTTTTGAGTCGACTCAAAAATAGGCTCATTACACACGGTTCTGTGTCAACCCGTGCAAGAGGGTGCTTTGCTTGCAGGTTTCTCACTAGTGCCTGCCCGAGTTCTTGGTTTCTTTGTTCTAACTGTTGTTACTAACTTCTGTTTGCTGCCTTCGTTTCGCATACGAATAGACGGCTGCCTGAGAGAGAGGGAGAGGACACAGGAAAGGAAGTGCTGAGAGGCGGAGAGGGATCTTTGAGAGTTCTCAACAGCCAGTCACAAGGTGACATGGGGAAGAGAAAGGGAGAGTGGCTGGGTGAGAAAAGGGTGCAGCCCAGGGTGGAAGGGTGGCTTACTTGGGAGTCGAAGGGAAAGCGCTGGAAGTTTTTTGATTTGACTAAAAAATCGACTCATTACACACGGATTATACACTGAGAGAATTTTTGTCGCATGGAAGGCTGGGCGTAACTTGCAAAAGTTACTTGTTCGCGCGAGGCTCCCTGATCACCAGCTGGCGAGATGTGGGTTACCCACGACACGTCCCGAGGAATGAAGACCTGGCACCTTGGAACTTTCTAGGGTGTTTTGGATTGGCTGACCAGATTTCAGTCGCGGTTGTTCCAGCCTTGAAGTTGTTGTTCTCGTAGCGCAGTTTCTGTTTAAGAGCTCGCTTGTAAACTCACTTTTATAATTCCACCAGCACTGATGAAGGTCTGATTTGGGGCCTGTCCCAGTCAGCTGAAACTAGTTCGCGTTTTAATCTTCTAGTCGAGTTGAGTTCGGAACTTCAAATTCTCGGTTTTTAACAGGGGTATCAATTTACCTACTGTCACTCTCTTTGCGAAGGGTTTTCCTATTCGCTGCAGCCCACCCTAACGCTTAATGGCTAGGGTGGCTTACTTGGGAGTCAAAGGGAAAGCGCTGGAAGTTGAAAGGAGAGGAGAACTCGCCTGCAGTTGAGGGCACACAGAGAATGGGGGAAATGTTATGGCGGTTGAGGGATGGGGGTTGGGGTTTGGAGCGGTACAAGGGGATAGTTGGGAGAGGAGGGGGTGGGGGGGGGAAGGGGGAGAGAGAGAGAGAGAGAGTGTGTATAAAATGGGTCGAATGCCATCCCCACTGGCAGAGCAAAACCAGAAGCCAGGAGGCAAAAGGTAGCATGATAAATTGCTTATTGAAGCGCCGCAAAAGTTGTTCCACCGCTGCCTCCTCTCTCAAGAACCTTTCCCCGCTCTTCCCCACGCTTCCCTCTCCCCACCCCGTTCCCCACCCCGCTCCTCCCACCCCGCTCCTCCCACCCCGCTCCCCAGTGCACCTTCCACGACGACCTCTCGGTCCACCGCGCTCATGTCGTTGTTGATGTCGCCAAAGAAGTAGATGCTCTCTGGGCGGGGGGCAGGAGGGCGCATGGGGCAGGAGGGCGCATGGGGCAGGAGGGCACATGGGGGGGGGGAGGGGAAGGGGGAGGTGGTGGATGCGGGGTGACAGAAACGGAATGAGTGACCGACGCTTCGCAAGTGGAGAGTGAGAGACGAGAACCAATTGAAAGCGAGCACACTCTTGAGCGCACTCTTGAGCGCACTCTTGAGCGCACTCTTGAGCGCACTCTTGAGCGCACTCTTGAGCGCACTCTTGAGCGCACACTTGAGCGCACTCTTGAGCGCACTCTTGAGCACACTCATCTGCACGAGGTACTGGAGGGGCGCGCTCATGTGCAGGGTTTAGGGTGCGCACGTTCACCGGTGAAGTAGCGGTCCTGCAGATGCGCGTGCAGCACAAGAGGCGCGGTGGCTCACCGGTGGAGTAGCGGTCGTGCGCGTGAGCGGGCAGCACAAGAGGCGCTGTCCTGCGGAAGTGCGTGCGGCAGTGGAGGGTTGCGGTGGCTCACCGGTGGAGTAGCGGTCCTGCGGGAAGAAGATGACGTTGGGGATGTTGAGCGACGGCAGCCACACGCCGTCGCAGCACCGCGTGCCCACCGGCGTGCACGGCTTCTTGCAGTCCTTCAGCTGCGGCAGACCCGTCTGGCGGCAGCCACAACAAGGGGAAGGATGGGGAGGGGTAAGCAACAAGGGGAAGGATGGGGAGGGGTGAGCAACAACGTGAACGGACGCACACACGCACAGCCATGGCGGAAGTGCACTGCTACCCGTCTGGTGGTGCCCCGGGGGCGGGGGGCGGGGGACGGGATGGTGGGGATGGTGGGGATGGTGGGGATGGTGGGGATGGTGGGGATGGTGGGTCAAGTGCACAACAAGGAAGGGAAAGAAACACACGCATGCATGGCACGCAAACGCACGCACACGCCAAAGCCAAGGGAGGCAGCAGCTTAGTCTACCTGGCTGAGGCCGCCCAGGCAGTCTTCCTTCTGGCTGATGTTGTACCCGGCGAACGTCACGTTGGGCTTGCACCCGCTCATGGCGCCCGCCACCAGGTCCGGGCTCAACTGGTCCACCACCTTCCACACGCCCAGCGTGTCGTTCACTGGGGGGGGGGGAGGAGGGGGAGAAGAAGGGGGAGTGGGGGAGGGATGAGCAGGGATGAGCGGAGGTGAGCGGGCGCCTCAAAGGGCGCCGCTCACCTAGTCGGGGCTCAGCTGGTCCACGACCCTCCACACGCGCAGCGTGTCGTTCATAGAGGGGAGACATTAACGCCGGGATTTACGCGGGAATTTACGTGAGAGGTGACGGGGGCGGCAACTCGAAGCAGCTTCACGGAACGGTGACATTCGGCAGCAGGCCAACTGCAAGTGAGTTCACAACGGGCAGTGGGGGAACGGTTGGCGCTTGGGCGAACGAACGATTGGCAGTGGGAGCTTGAAGCTCGTTAGCGGGCGAGGCGCGGCGCGGCGCAGCGCGGCGCAGCGCGTGACTGACCTCGGGGATCGCGCCACGACGTGACGACCTGGAAGTACGCGCTGTAGCTGTACTTGAGCTCTGCGCGCATGGGGTGCGGGGTAGGAGCGGATATTCGGGGGGGGGGGGGAGAGACAGAGAGAAGGAATGCGGGGGGCGAGAGAGGCAGGAGAGGAGGGACGCGAATTGGGGGGAGATTAGGGGTAGGGGTGAGGAAGGAACGGAAGTGATTCAATGCGGGGAGGAAGGATTAAACCACGGAGCGGCGAGATGGAGAGTTGGAATCGAGGAGGAGGAGACCCGTGAACCTCCATGGACAATGACTTGCCATGTCGACGACCTCGACACGCGCGGAAGGGAGTGCGAGCGCGCCCGACACGCAGTCAGGCAGCAGACTCGCGAATTGGGATGCCGTCGAGCCGACGGTGGCGCGTCGCGTCGCATGACTTGACAAGTTATGGATAATCAAGAGAGAGATACTAACAGACGGTAGCGCGTGTTCCCCAGGTCCCTGATGTCCGTGCGAGCACACCGTCGTTCCCACTGCCCTACAGTCGTCCGTCCAGTCTTACCGCCATCCGCTTACTTCTACTGCCGTCCGTCCAGTCTTGCCGTTTTCCGTCCGGTCTTACCGTTTTCCGTCCAGGCTTACCGTCGACGGCAATGAGCTTCCGCAGCATGACGGAGAGGTACACGGGCACGGGCTCGGACACCACGTTCGACGTGTACGGGTCCATGCCCTGACCAATCAGCGGACTCTCCGCCTGCCCCATAGCTAGCCTGATTCCGTTCCTAGTGCCTTCTGGCTTCTCGGTCCATGGCGCTAGAGCCAAGATAGCGACTAGTAGTAGCGAGTTTGCGTGGAAGACGACCCGCGTGCTGCCATGCCCGCGACACGCCATGGCGTAGCGCGTGCTCTTAGAGCGGATAACGTTTGGGAGAGTGAGTGTGTGTGGGAGATCGCGGGTTAACCTTGCGCGAAGGTTGCCGTCGCCGCGGCGGTGCTGTTTATTCGGCTGATCGCAAAGCTGTGCGTTTGGGAAGCTCTAATGGCGACTGCTCAGGTCTGTCGCGAGGCTCAGGCAAACGAACACCTCGTTCGTTGGTTCACCTTAGCACCCGCAAATACTGTAGACCTCCGTCTCACCACCGCATCTAGTCCACTGCTGCGATTATTGCGGGACGCACCGGAACACCGAATGCACAGTGCGCTGCTGGGGCTGCAACATTATGGTACTGTATGGTGGGGGACACTGGGCCTGGGCCATGGCTGATGGGTGAGGGAGGGAGGCAGGGGTATCGGTTCGGTCAGATCGGGAACACAGAGAAATTCATGTCACTTGCAGGGCGAATCGCGTCGAGGATGTCAGAAAATGGTAAGGCCGCGCGAGCAATTGGAGGCTGCCCAACCAAATGTCGGCAGTTCAGCAGTAGGTTCGGCAAGAACAGTGCATTAAAACCTGACATCGAGATATACTAACCACCAAACATGGAAAACGAGAGGAACACCTGGTTGGGGTGCACTGTAGTGATGGTTTGGGCACCGGCCTCACCCACAAAATGATTTTCATATTGTAGCTTTGGGCAGGGCAGGCAGAGGCTCACAAAGAGGTTGTAACGCGTTACAGGAATCACAGGTTGTACTGTGATACCTATTGGGCAGACAAAAATAACATCAGAGGCGTTACGATGTATGGGGTCGCATCGCATCCCTCCAACAGGCTCATGTCGGGAAGCAGCGCCGTACGTGAAATCCGTTGGATATTAGGAGGAAAGTGTTCACTCCATGATAACAAGTAAAGATAAGGTTTTCACGTAGCCAAACTTTGAACCAAAACACTTCAAGAAATCTCTGAAGCTGGGGCAGCTAGAACCTGAGATTCCTGTATCTTGTTATAGCAGACAGGAGCCCAAGACACATACTGCAACATAACCTCAATCGGATGAGGCAAAATGAATGTATTGCGCTACACTGGACTATTTGGGTCCTTGTTCAGTCCGCATGGTACAGTGGATCAAGTGGAGGCAGTGTCAGCGTCCGGGGCAGGTGCAGCATCAGCAGCAGCCGCACCATCATCCGCAGCCGCGGCGGCGGCAGGAGCACTGGGGTCGTCTTGCTTCTCTGGGTGTGAAAGGGCTTCTTCTGCTTTCAACTCTTCCTCCGTCTCCACAGGAGGAATGGCTCCAATCTTGTAACGCACAGTCTGGTAAGGGGGAAGGAACATCCAGACAGGATGCTTCTATTCCCACCACTCGTACCACAGATTCACAACAGAGCTCGAGTGTGCAAGACAGGGAGGGAAGGCGGGAAGGAAGGAGGGAACAGTGTGAGTGAGGGGAAGGGACTGAGAGCAAGTGAGAAAGAGGGTGGACCTTCTTTGTGAGGAGCGAGTAGGTGTTGTCCCATGTGATGGTGTACGCCCCCACAGCAGGCGCATTGAAGCTACCCTGCAGCACAGGACGCACACAGCCCAACGAAGGAGGGCAGCAAAGCAAGAAAAGAAGGGCACAGGTTAGAGGAGAGATGGGCAAATGGGCAGATGGGCAGATGGGCAGTGCTAAGGGAGCAGATCGAGCCAACAGGACAGCATCACTTCACATGAGATTCAGGGAACGGGAGGAGCAGGGGATGGGAGCCGTTGAGGAAGCGTAGGTTCGGCGTGAAGGGAATAAATCAGCAACACAGCAACACAGCAACACAGCAACAAGAGAGAAAGTAGTGGCAGCAGCAACAGAGCACAACCTGGAGCATGAGCAAAGAACATCAATGGGCTCAGAAGAGCAACGTGCAGGTGGCTTGAGACCGCAAATATGGACTGGTGTCACAAATCAGGGATCATATCACCAATTCGGAATGGTGTCAACCATCCATGGGCTCCAGCACACACACCCACACACCCAGACACACAGCCACACACCTCATGCTTGTCCACTTTTTGGTACGGCACCATGCCCTGGAGTGAGATAAAATCGGGCACACGCAGACACACAGACAGTCAGCAGCGGCACACGGCAGCACGGATTCGATGGAGGGACGGACGCAAGACAAGGATCAGAGATTGACATGAGAATGTGGTGCAGAAAATGCAGGGATAGTAGCCTTAAGATGCATGCAGCCAGTGAAGAGGAGAGGGAGGGAGGGGGGGGGTTGGGGGGGGGGGGGGGGGGGGGGGGGGTGGGAGGAATTGCTGATGCCACAGGCGATAGAGCTTGCACTAGACCGAAGCATAACACGCCATGGACCATGTTTTGAAACACACATGCAAAGAAATACACATGCAGATCGTCTCAAGAGAACATCAAGGAGAGAGAAAAAAAAGGCAAGAAAGCATTTAGACAAGGACAACCCATATGCATGTACATGCAGTAGCAGGGAGGCGGCAGCAGACAGCGAAGAAGCGGGGGGGAAAACAACAAGACAAAAGGGAGGAGCTGCAAGGGAAGCGGTTTATGAAGAGAAGTTTGGAATGGGATAGTGAGCGAGCACTGACCGTCTTGGTGCCATCCTCTGCAGTGTATTCCACGCTGAAGCCAACGTCCTGATGGTACCACAGCAACACAGCAACAGCAACACAGCAACAGCAACACAGCAACACAGCAACAGCAACACAGCAACCCAGCAACCCAAACCCAGAGAGTGACAGTGCAGCAGCAAGACACATCGGCACACAGGGCACCAAGAAACAGTGAAGAAAGAGGGGCGGCACACAATCAGACGGCGCAAAGAAAAGGACTTGAGCAGATGCAGAATTCTGCTGCTGTCAACCCAGAAGCATTCTGCCGCAGAGCACATAGCGGCATACCAAGTGCACGACGGCAATGGGCGTACCTTGCCGTACGTGAGGTTGAACTCCCACGCCACCAGTGTGCCCACTGCATCCACTGTCACTGGCACCTGGCCGCACACAGGGAGGAGCGGGGGAAGAGGAAGCGAAGGGCGAGAGGAGTGTGGGGGGGGGAGGGGAGAAAGAAGCAGGAGAGGGAGAGAGAGAGCTAGGAAAGGAGAGGGGGTTGGGGGCAAACGAGTGAAGTGAGACAACAAGTGCAGACGCCGACAGACAGAACAGGAGAAGGGGGATTGACGGGGCATGCAAACCACAACAAGTGCAGGCATCCCCACATGAAACGGCATAAAGGAATGGCATGACATGGCATGACATGGCATGACATGGCATGACATGGCATGACATGGCATGACATGGCATGACATGGCATGACATGGCATGACATGGCATGACATGGCATGGCGTGGTATGGCAGGGAATGGCATACCTGGGAGCTCTGGCCATAAGCAATGTTGAGCTCCTTGAACTCCTCCACCTTGCTGGTAGGGGTGAGCGGGCCATGGCAACGGCAACGGGCCGGGCGAGACGGAGGGGCGAGAGGGCGGGTCGAGTGGGTGTGGCGAGTGGAGGAAGGGGAGAAGGAGGGAACAGTGTGCAAGAGGGGAGACGGCATGTGGGATGCAACTAGGCCGGGTCGAAGGGAGGAGAACGGAAGCGGGAGTGCACTCTTGGCAAAGGGTGCTGAGAGCATGGCACCATGCTGGGATGGCATGGCAGATATGCTGCGAGGGCATGGCACTATGCTGCCAGGGAATGACAGAATCCCAGGAGACATCACCCACCGTTCTGTCAGCACGTTACTGACCTCTTGTCTTCAGCAGACATGGCTTCCTCGGCGGATATCAAGAACGGTGACTGGTCAAACACGTCACTGCACATAGGGGGCACAGCCGGTGCGCCCGGGGAGGCGGGCCCGGGAGAGACGGAGGAGAGCAAGGGAGAGAGAGAGAGAGAGGGAGAGTGGGGAAGTGGGGGAGGAGCGGGAAGGGGCAGAAGAAAGGAAAGAGGGGGGAGCAGGGGAAGACAGAGCGGAGGGGGTTGGGCATTCAGAAGCACAAAATTAGTTGCACACTCTCCGTATGCATGGATGCATGGATGGATGCATGCATGCAGCCACTTGTGACTTGGCATGTACTTGCTTATGGCCACCGATGTGAATGAGCATGCGCTTTTTACTTGCTGTTAACACTAAGCCACGGAGCAACACATGAGCACGCACATCTCCTCCTGCCTCTTGCCCCAAACAAACCCCAACCACACGTAAACGCCGCGCAATGCATGCACCCAAACATGCAGGCAAGCCCAAGCAGGCACGCATCCGTGCAAACATCCATGCAGGTATGCATGTGGGGTTCCTGGGTTCCTGGGTTCCTGGGTTCCTGGCTTCCTGACCTGAGGAGAGAGAGGAATCGCGAGATCTCCTTGGAGTAGATCGCTGCTGCGTTGCTCACGACGCCAAACACGCACCCAAACATGCAGGCAAGCCCAGAGGGCGAGCATACACGCATGCATGCAGGAATGCATGCACGGATGCTCACCTGAGGAGAGAGAGGAATCGCGAGATCTCCTTGGAGTAGATCGCTGCAGCGTCGCTCACCACGCCCACATAGTCAGAAGCGTTCCTGCAACATCACCACCACCACCACCACCACCACCACGTGACACGATGGGCGGAGGAGACAAGGAGACATAAGAGGGGAAGAGTTGATAGGATTTAGCCACTCCCCCGTCCCTCTCAAACCCCTCCCCCCAAAAGCACAAGCAGCCAGCATCACAAAGCGCCAATATTTTCCCCTCACCCCCCCTTCCCTGCCCTCCCCTGCCCTCCCCCACCCTCTCCCGCCCTCTTCCGCCCTCTCCAGCCCCTCCCTGCCCTTTCCCCCCCTCCACAGCCCTCCATCCCCCATTCCTCCCCATCCCCCCGCACTGACTCGGCGCATTCATCGAAGGAGGACCACCAGAGCGCGAGGAAGATGTGCAGGCGGTTGGACAGCGCCGTCAGCCGGTACAGCGGCGGGCCGTACGACAGCCGCTGCTCCTCCATGGGGCTGCGCGGCAGGGGAGAGGGGGGGCGGAAAAGTCAGAGGACGAGAGAAGATGGAGAGGGAAGATGACGTAGAGGGAAGATGACGGAGAGGGAAGATGACGGAGAGGGAAGATGACGGAGAGGGAAGATGACGGAGTGGGAAAATGACGGAGAGGGAAGATGACGGAGAGGGAAGATGACGGAGAGGGAAGATGACGGAGTGGGAAGATGACGGAGAGGGAAGATGGCACAGCATGGGACGGAGAGAGGGTAGGGTGATGGAGGGTAGTGAGAGGGTAGGACGGCACGAGGAAACAAACATGCAAAGAGAGCTGGAGAAAGAGGCGGGGAGCAGCAGGAGGCGGAGAAAGAGTACCCGTTGTGGTCGTTGATGGTCTTGACAAACTCGAGAAGGATCTGACGAGATGCAGGGGGGGAGTGGGGGAAGGGCGAGATGGGGGGGGATGGGGGAGATGGGGGGGGATGGGGGAGATGGGGGGAGGGAGAAGGAGAGGGGCGCGGGAGGTTGAAGTGAGAAAGGACGCATGAAAGTGAGAGGGGCGAGGCAAGTGACGAGCACGGCGTGAGAAGCACAAGCCCATATGAAGAGCATACGAGATAGGAAGGGGAGAAGTGGCAGGAGGGAGAGAGGAAGGGCTTGGAGAGTAGATTACGCACCACAGGATGGATGAGTAAGGGGGAATAAGTGGAGTGGGGGAAGGGGGGGAGCGGGAGGGGACGAGGCGGCTGCAGCGGGAGGTGAAGGAGTGGAGAAGGAGAGGCAGAGGGAGAGGGAGAGGGAGAAGGCAGAGGGAGAGGAGAGGGAGAGGGAGAGGGAGAGGGAGAGGGAGAGGGAGAGGGAGAAGGAGAAGGCAGAGGGAGAGGCAGAGGGAGAGGGAGAGGGAGAGGGAGAGGCAGAGGGAGAGGGAGAGGGAGAGGCAGAGGGAGAGGCAGAGGGAGAGGGAGAGGCAGAGGGAGAGGGAGAGGCAGAGGGAGAGGAAGCGAGGAGGAAAAGAGGGCGACCTGGGGCACGCCAACGAGGTACGTGACGAGTGTGCGGTAGATGCCCGTGGCCGCTCCCAGTGACGCCAGGGTGTGCCGCCTGTGGAGGGCAGACGGATGAGGGAGGGGAGAGAGGCGCGAGGGAGGAACAGGGAGAATGCGCGGGTGACGATCTAGAGAGTGAGAGTGAGGGGAGAAAGAAAGAAAGAAAGGGGTGGGGTGCGGCGGGAAGGGGAGGGCGGACGGCAGGCGCAGATGGAGGAGGGGAGAAGGAAAACCAAGAGCAAGAGCTACCTTCACTTTTACGTAGCTGCTATCTGAGTTGCGTTCTTTCCCTGCTGGCCTCCATATTCCCCCTCCCTTCACCTCCAGGCGTGTCCCTTAAAACCAAACCGTACTGAGCAAAGCGCACGCACCTGCCCGCCTTGCTTACGTACGCACCTGTCCATCTGCTGCTGCCACAGCAGCGCGTACTTCTGCTTGATGCTGCCGCCATTGGTCACGAGGTTCGCCACCTCCTGCTTACGCCGCGCCTCCGACCGATCCTTCTGCTGCTTCAGCAGCGTGCCGCGGAAGTCCTGCGGCATGTACGTGAACACTGCGCCGAGGGCGGCGGGGAGACGCAGGGGTGAGGGGTTGGGGACGAAACGGAAGGGGAAGGGGGAAGGGAGAATGGGGAAAGGATAGACAGGAAGGAGGGGGAGATGCGCAAAGGTGGGACGAGGGGAGAGTGTGTGGGGAAGAGAGGAGGAGTAGAACACGGCGTGCAAATGCAGACGAGCTAAGGGTGTCTGGGTGAATAGGCGTTGCGTGATAAAACAAAGGCATGCACACCTCTTCACGAGCACTCATATACCCATGGTAAAAAGTGCTGATAGCGAGCACCGAAACTCCCATCCCATGGTAGACATGCTTATAACGAGCAACCACATACCCACGGTAAACCTGCTTATAACGAGCACCGACATACCCATGGTGGAGATGCGTTCGCTGGTGACGTCTTGGAACTGCTCGATCATAGTCAGCGTCGCCTTCAGCTCGTCCTTCCACTTCCCAATCGCCTCCGCTGCTGCCTTCCCCGCCGCCGACTCACCCGCCTTAACCTGCATTCCGCACGCATGGGCGCAAACGTGCGCGCGCACACGAGCGCAAGAGCGCGCGGACGGGGAAGCAGCGCCAGCGGGGGCGAAGGAAGCGGAAGAGGGACAATCGGTGTTCGGGAATGAAAGAAAGACGAGAGGGAACGAGAGAACGTAGCGAAAGCCGCGCGAGGAAAAATAAGGGACGAATAGAGAGAACGGCAATCGATTGCTCAGTCAAAGGCAACGACCATTCGAAAGGACAACGATACACGGTGGTGCTCAGTGCTGCTTACCGCGGCGGGCAGTTGAGCGTCGTCTAAAAGGAACAGCAATTCCTCCAGCTGCTCGCGGTTCTTCCAGAAGTTCTCGTCCAGCTTGTGTGGCGGATCCAACAGCAACGAGGATAGCAGTCCGTTGTCTTCGCCTGTCATGATGGCATGCCAAGAGGACCGGGGATCGCGGCATCAGCACAGCGACACACAGGCACGCACGGGTGAGATCGCGCACATCGGCACACGCGGAGATGGTCAAACACGCACGCGCTCTCACGCACGCAAACGCAGACACAGACGCAAGAACAGAGATGTCTTGCGTCAGAAGACAGCTCTCCTTGTCGCATTTTCACCAGATCTAACATCTCCAACTGCTCGGAATGCAAGCGGCCCCTTCCTGTCCACCCCCCCGTCTCCCCAGGTTGCTTCGCATCGGTCAAGCTGACCGACGGTGTTGCGGAGAACCAGGAGGTTCGGCAGAACCACATGCGGTAGTTCTAAAACAACTAGAAAAAAATGCCTTTCTTGAAAAGCTGAATAGTTTAAGATTTTCATACGGATGTTGATATTTGTAAGTCGAGAAATACACACCGCAGATCAATGGAGCTGATTGGTGCTGCCCATAACCGCAAAAGTCAACAGCGGAAAGTGCTTTCCCATTACCTTGCCTTGAGTATATCAGATCCGATCACCTCTCATCAGAAAAAACAAAAACCCATCTGATCATCAACGCTTCTTCGAATCTCGAACACTGCGAGCTTAGCAAAGAACCAGAACGACGAAAATGTCCCACTATAGACGCCCGAAAAAAAGACCCCAAAAATAGACGCATGCCGAGGAGGGGTGCCAGAAGCGGCTACAAACCCGCATTCTGACAGATTAACTACTGGTGGAAAGATCTGGCAGACTGAGTGAAGGCGAAGCGGAAGGATAGCAGAGCGGACCTTCTGTGGCGGTGCGCTTCGCATCGATGGCCTCGCTGAGCTCCGTGAGGCGCGCGAGGAGCGTCTCCACGTCATCGTGCAGCGGATCGAACGGATGCTTCGCGTAGAACGCGGCGAGGAAACTCCGCGTGATGGGGACAAGCCCCTTGGTCGAGGCCATTGTGCTCGAAATGTCAAGCGTGCTTTGCGTCGGAGGGCTCGCGTGGGTGTGCACGTGTGATTGCCGAGTGAAATGCGAGATCGAAGGACACTGGGGGGTGGCAAAAAAAAAATCACTAGTTTCAAGCAGGCTGGTGCGCTTCTTGCCAAGCAGGCGTTGAGCACGAGATAGTTGACAAATCCGAGCGAGATCTCGTACTCCAGTAGAACAATTAGCAGATGACGGAACAAATGCAAGATTGCAGCAGCAGGGAGGGAGTACAATATTGCCAGTGGTGGTGGCGTGTTGTTGAACGCCTAGTACAGCACACTGGGAGCTCAACGAACAGATTGACATGGCGAGGCGACACAAAAGAAATATGAATGAAAAAGACGAAAACCGAAACAGGTTGGCGGTGAAATCCGCAACCCCATATGTTGGGGAAGCCCTGGAGGGGGGAGTGGGGGGGCTGGGGGGGGAAGGGTTCCCCTCCGCTTCCCCCAAACTGCCCGGCCTTCTGCTCTGCTCTTGGCAGGCGGGGAGGGGCGCCGCAAGGAATGAAGCGCGGGAGTGACAGAGAGTGTGGCCACAGCGGCAGTTTCAATTGGCGGGAAGCGCACCGAGTGGCTGGGTGACGGTGAGGTGGGGTTAGGTAGCGGTGGAATGTCACATGGTCGCGAAATATTCTGGTTGGTGGGATGGATATTCCACGCGCCTAGCGAAGCACACTTCTGCTCTGCATATACGCATTTTCATTAAACATATGTAAGCACCAAAGTTAGGAGAATCAGATGTTTGGATCTATCCCGTGCAGAAAGCAGTTATACTCCATAATTAACCCAAGAACTCAAGAAATTATCCCTGCATACTTCTCAAAACCTTTTGTGGCCCGAAAAGAAACAAGCGCTCAATCCCTTTGCCAACATACACAATTTCCCATTTGCTCATATGTTTCCATGGTGTAGCTGAGTGAACCAACCGTTTCATCAAAACCGACCCTCATGGAGGTCGAGCACACAGAACTGAGCAGCAGAAACAGAATCCACAGCATACCATAGCAGGGGAGATGGCGTAGTCTATACCGTAACACCCCCAGCACTGGGTCACGCCACGGTCATGGCAGTGCTGACACCCGGCTCAGTGGAGTCAACCAAGGTTCTATCATCCGCCCCGGCGTCTCTGTCGGCTCCCCGATCCGCCGCCCTGAGTCCGTCTCGCCTCGTCATAGCATCTCTGCTTTTGCTCCTCGCCTTGCTCGTCGCTATCTTTCTTTCCTCACACGACCAGCGTCGCGTTGCTCTGTCGCCCGACGATCCGACTGTTCCGCGAAACCAACCCCCTCTGTCGCAGATTCTTTCGCCAGTCGCAGGAATCGCCGGCTCCCGTCGCCTGCACACTCGCTTGTCGCACAAGACCCTTGACATTGAGCGTCTTAGACCAGACGAGGGATCCGTTAATCCACTCCATAAGCCGCCTTCCAAGCCCTCGCGGCTCGATTGGCCCCGCATTTCTCGAAGCCAATGGCGGGCACCCCGCGGGGCTCGCGGGGAGGTGGAACCGGAGCTGGCGGAGAATGAGTCGGGGGGAACAGCGGGGGAGCGCGGATCTGGCGCAGGTGGCGGAGAACACAAAGCCCAGCCAGAGTGGTGGGGGAAGGGGAAGGAAGAGGCGGAAGGGGGGAGGGTGGCGGAAGCGGAACGAACGGTCGGAAAGAGGAGTGGAGGCGGTAAGCATGGTGATGCGGAGGGGGAGAGGGCAGGAAAGGAGGGAATTGTAAAGGCGGACGCAGGGGCAAAGAAAGATGGGAAAGCAACAGGGGCGGAAGAGACTGTATGGGGAGAGAGGGCGGAGGGAGGGAGCAGCAGCAATGGCGCATGGGGTCGGGACTGGTGGGCGGAGGAGTGGGGCGATGACAGTGGGTTCGGGGAAGAGTGGGAGGGGGAGGAGTGGGAGGGGGAGGAGTGGGAGGGTGGAGAGAGTGAAGGGAGGGGCAGTGCGGGAGAGGGAGGGAGTGAGGAAGAGGGAGGGAGTGAGGGAGGACACCAGCATGCCGGGGAAGGTGGTTGGAGGGGGAGGAGGAGCGGGGACAGGAGGCGGGAATTGGTGGAGGGGTGGGTGGAGGGAGCTGACGAGTCAGCAAAGCTGGCGTTCAGCTGGGTGAACGAGGGTGGGCGGCAGGAGGAGCTGATCTCACCAGCGGCCAAGCGGTACCGGTGGGCGTGGGCCAGGGACACGCAGGGCAGCTCGTGGCAGATGCCGTTCGCCGTGCGCCCCACTGCTGTTGATGTTGCTGTGAGTGGCGCGCACCAGGCAGCACCGCACGCACACCACTGCACAACACCGCACAGTACCACAGAGCACAGCACAGCACCCTTGCTTCATGTTAACCCAATCACGCTTCTGCTTCTGACCTGCCACACCTCCACCTTCTCACCTTACCACCCCACCCACTCCCCTCTCCGCTTCTCCCCCGTGCCCCCTCCCCGCCCAGAACACTCCATCGTGCGCCAAGCTCCTCCCCCCCTCCGCCTACTCCGGTCTCTCTACCACCATCACAGGAAAAAACGCCACTGACGATCAGCTGCAGGCACTATTGGCAGGAGCAGCAGGAGCAGGGGGAGGAGGAGGAGGAGCAGGGGGCAGTACCGAGCGGTGGCTAATCTGGGTGCCGAGGCACGGGCTGGGCAACGCCTTGCGTGGCTTCTCCTCAGCGCTGCTCTACGCTCTGCTCTCCGGCCGCCGCTTCCTGCGCTGGCACGGCGGCCCACACGGCCGGGTGAGTATAGATGTGACTTGGACGGACGGGTATGAGGCTATGAACACAGCTGCACAGCTGCACAGCTGCACAGCTGCACAGGCGCACAGCTGCACAGCTGCACAGGCTCACAGCTGCACAGGCGCACAGCTGCACAGGCGCGCATAGCAACTCCTCATGGTCGCTAGACTCTCTACCCCCTCCGGGCCCGGCCCGCGTTCTCTCCCTTCCCTGTGTAATGCCTTCACTCGCCTGCCCTCTCACAGCAGGAAAACTTTGAAACGTAAGCTTGTGGTCCGTTTCGAACGACGAAAGCCTCGAAGGCAGCAGCAAACGCTTGTTGCTGCAGGAAATTCTGCTGTTGTTGTAAGCGGAGCACTTCCTGTGTAATGCCTTCACTCACCTGCGTTTCGTGAGTGGCTGAGGCAAACTCTGCACCCTGCCCTTCTCCCCCCCCTCCCCCTCCCCCCCCCCCCCCCACCTTCCCCCTTTTCCTCCCCCACCCCACCCCTTCCCCCTATCAGGTCCTGGACCGTCTGTGCGACGCCCTTGACTGCGCCTTGGACCAGCTCACCATCGATGCCCCCTCACTCCCCGTGCCCCTGCTCGAGTCCCACGAGCTGCTCCTGCACTCCCTCGCCGACCCCTCGCCCCTCCTGGCCGTCTGCACCGGGTCCTTCTTCGACACGTTCTGGCGCCGCGACAAGCGCGTGTACAAGTGCGTGCTGGATGCGTTTGGGTGCTCGAGCATCTGGTGCGTGCACTCCCGCACGCTCGCGCTCCTGCTCCCCCGCGGCCCGTCGGAGCGGCTGGAGGAAGAGCTGGATAAGGGGCTCTGGTCGATCCCCCCGCTGCTGAAAGTGGAGGGAGGAGGGGGAGTGGGAGGAGTGGGAGGAGTGGGAGGAGGGGGAGTGGGAGGAGTGGGAGGAGTGGGAGGAGGGGGAGGAGGGGGAGGAGGAGGGTGGGTGGGGATGGGGGAGGAGGAGCAGTGGGAGATGGAGAAGGTGGCGCCAGGGCAGGCAGTGCGGCTGCAGTTTGATCTGGCCCTGCACGTGCGAGGGCGGCCCAGGTCAGACCATCAGATGCTGCCGTGAGACGACTTTTGAGCCGCCTGAAGCAACCCTGCATGCGCTCTGTCCTCCCCTCCCCCATTGACTCCCGTCTCCCCCGCCCATTTTCTCCTCTTCCCCCCTCCCTTCTCTCCCCCCCCCTTCCTTCTCTCTCCCCCCCTTTCCTTCTCTCCCCCCCCCTCTCCCCCACCCCACCCCCCAACAGCAAGGTGGAGCGTGTGTGTGTGAACGGCGACCTGTCCTGTCTGCAGGAGCAGCAGCAGGTGCAGCAGGAGGAGCAGGGGCAGCTAGTGAGCAACCTGCTCCGCCCCTCCCGCTGGCACTGCATCGTGCGCCTCGCTCAGTTTCTAAGAATCAAGAAGGCAGCTGCTCTACTCGCTGCTGCTGGTGCTGCTGCTGGTGCTGGTGATGGTGCTGGTGGTGCTGCTGCTACAGCCGCAGCAGGAGAAACGGGGTCAACAGCGGCAGCAGGTGCCAGTGCTGGCAGCAGCATGAGCCCTGCTGCACCACCCTCTCTCTCTGCTCCCACTCATTCAGCCGCAGCCTCCGCCCCATCCCCCTTTGCCCCCCATCCTGAGTCTCCTCCTCTCTCCGCCTCCGGTGCCCCATCGCCTGGCAGCCTCCCCAACATTAACCCCAGCAGCAGCAGCAGCAGCAGCAGTGCAGGGAGGCGAAGGCGCCTGGAGGAGCAGTGGACAGTAGAAGAGTCAATGAGAATAGCCACCATCACCCCCCCTCCCAACTCTTCCCTAGGAACCCCCTCTCTCCCTCTCCCCCCTCTCACCATTTTCATTGCCACAGACACTGACGACGTCCGCCCCGCCATAGTCAAATTCCTGCGCCCATTCGGCCGGGTCTATTTCTCCAATGCCCCCGCCATCCACCTGTCCAAGTCCAGGACCCAGGGCAGCCACCTGAGCACGCTGGGGGATTTCCTGATGCTTAGTAAAGCGTCAGTGGTGGTGAGTTTCACGCGGTATATCAGCACCTTTGCCATGTTTGCCGCCATGCTGGGAAATGGCACCCTGGTGGCAGAACCAGAGTCAGAGAGCCACTGCCGGTTTGTAGTGGAGCACCTGGCAGACTTGCCCTAGGAGCGTGTTCCTACGAGCCTCTTCCCAGGCAACCTCTTCCCAGACTCACGCGCGACCTTGAGAGCGTGTTCCCATCCTAGGACCACTTTTAGGAGAACTCCCGTTTCATATTTGCGTTCCATCCAGAGCCCTAGATTGGTTTTGAGGCTTCCTGATCCATCAGAATTCTTCCTGCAGAAAAGTCTGAATTTTCAGGGTCCCCTAAAAAAAAATCCTGAGCCATCAGAATTGTTGGGCTGATAAAAGCCCTTTAGGATCTTTCCAGAGACTAAGTCACAGTTGAGGATTGAGACTTGAGTAGTGCAGCGGAAGTTGAGTAGTTGAACCCTTGTACTAGTATATGAGAACAAGTGATTGATTAAAGTGAACAAGCATACAGCAATATATAGAAAGTAGAAAACAAGCAGTTGTAGAATACAGTTGAATGGCGGTTTATCGAGTCGCACAGCGACTCGATTGTCGCTTCGGTTACCATTCTTGCAGTTGTAACGGTCAGTCGCAACCTCCGGTTACGACCCTTCGAGTCCTTTCGTGTTCTTTGTCCACCCCCTCGTGTAACCTCCGTTGACTCGCGTACTCGTTACGATCTTCCTCGAGTGTGATGTTACACTTCAGAAACGCTTAAGTCCTTGAGATATTTCCAACAAGAATTACTTCGTAAAAAAATACTGATTTTTCAATCTTTCTATACATGTTATAGTTCATGAATTTTGTGTTTTCAAGTCTTGGTTTTTGGGGGTGCTGGGAATTCGTAGCGAATTCGCGTGTATGGCGAGATTGGGGGATGGGCAGGAAACGACAGTTGGTGGGGGGGAGAGGAGGGAAGGGCTGAATAGGGGGGGAGGTGACGAGATTGCAGGGACGGAGGGAATCTCTTCCCTCGCAGAGCCCTAGGGCAGGCGCACATCAAGCAAATTCGGCCAAGGGCTAGCAATTGCCCTCACACAGTCCTCAGCACACCTCCCTCACATGACCTCCAACATACAGCGCGGATATTTTTTTTACCAATGGCCAATCAGCGCCCTCACACAGCCTCGGGGGGTGGGGAAAGGGGGGGGGGGGGGGAGAATTTTCGAAATTCTTGACTGCCCCCCCTAGACACGCTTTTGGAAAGGACTAAGACCCGCTACAGTGCTGAGAAATTCAGGGTTCGCTAAGAAACCTTGCTGAGCGATCAGAGTTTACCCTTAGAAAAAGCCTGAAAAAGCAGGGTTTGTCATTTACAAAACCCTGCACAATCAGGGTAAGTACCGAGAAACTCCTTTTTTTTTCCTGAATCAGGAAAATTTTCCTGACTTCTAGGGGCCTGGTTCCATCGCTCTCAACCACATAAAACCTGCTGGCGTCGAAAAATTACTGTGCAGATTCGCGCTTGTTTGAAAATCTGCTCGTCTGGAAAGAAGTTTTATAACACGCCCCTGAATCTCGGGAAGCCGAATCTCACTTCGCACTTCGCGGAATCGCACTGAAACATTTCGCGTAAAATTTTGTGACACTGTAGCATGCGAGTCTGGGAAGAGGTTGCTTAGGAAAAGGCTGGTAGGAACACGCTCTAAAACTGTTACTTCAATAAATACTACGGTAGCCTTGGGTGCTGCTGCTGCTGCTCAGCTCACCGTTGATATTGTCAAACTTATCTTAGTATGTTACTGTAGACTATGCAGGTTTGTGCCTTAGGGTATAAGTCCCTAGCTTATATTACCTTGGACACTCCTATTCTAACAATTCATTCAGTTTTGAGATGGTTCCAGGAGTAGGTAGGTCCTGCTGCCCGCTCACGCTTCCGCTCTAGGTCCTAGCCGCCCATTCCCCCTAGTCGCGCTGTTCCTAGCTAGCCGCGCGCCCGTTTCCCCCCGGCCCCTAGCGCCCGTTCCTAGCCGGCCCCTCGCGCCCGTCCCTAGCCGGCCCGCGCGCCCATCCCAGCCGGCCCCTCGCGCCCGTCCTAGCCGGCCCTCCTGCTCGTTCAGTCGGCCCCTAGCGCCCGTCCCTAGCCGGCCCGCGCGTCCGTCCCCGCCGGCCCCCCTAGCGCCCGTTCCTAGCCGGCCCGCGCACCCGTCTCAGCCGGCCCCTCGCGCCCGTCCCTAGCCGGCCCGCGCGCCCGTCCCTGCCGGCCCCTAGCGCCCGTTCTAGCCGGCCCCTCGCCCCCTAGCGCCCGTTTCTGCCGGTCTCCAGCGCTCGGCCCCCCCCCCTAGCGCCCGTTCTAGCTGGCCCCTTGCGCCCGCTCCTCGCTGACCCCGTGTGCCCGTTCCAGCTGGCCCCAGCGCGCCCGTCCCTAGCTGCCCTAGCGTCCGTTCCGCGTTGGCATCCGCGCCCTTTCCTAGCCGGCCTTCGCGCCCGCCCTAGTCGGCTCCGCGCCTGTTCCTAGCCGGCCTCTCGACCCGTTCCTGGTTGGCCCTGCGCCCGCTCCTCGTCAGCCCCGCGCCCGTTCCTCGTCAGCCGGCCTCCTGCATCGCACTGCACCGCACAACACCGCACTGCACAGTACTGCACCGCTCAGCACCGCTCTGCACCGCATTGCACCGCTCTGCACCGCACAGCATCGCGCTGTATCGCACACTGCCGCTCTGCACCGCACTGCACCGTACAGCACTGCTCCGCACCGCACTGCACAGTACTGCACCGCTGCTGCATCGCTCCTGATGGCGGACTCCGTGCTCCGCTTTGACGCAGAGGGTCAGCCGCTCGAGTTTGACACGTGGCTGGTCGACCTCCGCCGTCAGCTCACTGGTCAGTGGCAGGACGGCCACTCCTTGGCGGTCCACCTTGACGGTACGCTCCTATGCCCTGACCCCCCTGCTCCCCTGCCCGCTGACCCCTCGTCCGCTGACCGTGAGTCCGCCGCGGCTGCTGCCCTTGCCCGCTCAGACTGGCTATCGCGTGACGCTGTCGCGCAGCTTGCGATCAGTCATGCCCTCCCCCTGACTGAGCGCCCCCACTTTAGGTCAGTCACGACTGCGCAGGAATTTCTCTATGCTGTGGTCAAGCGCTATTCCATCCCGCCTGCTGCCTCTGTAGGTCACCTTATCCTACCGATGCTCTTCCCTTACCTTGCGTCTTTCCCTACTGTCGCTGACCTCGCTGCTCACCTCCGCACGATAGACGCGACCTGGCGCGCTGCCTGCACTGAGACCCAACTTAGAGCCTTTTAGCCGCCCCTCTGCTCTACCCTCTACCTGCAGCCGCAGGTGTCGCAGCCAGACACGCACCAGCCGCAGCAGCAGCCCTCGCACCAGCTGCAGCAGCAGCCCTCGCACCAGTCGCAGCAGCCGCAGGAGCAAAGGCGGGCGGGTGGTCTCCCGCCCGGGTGGCCTGGCGCTGGTGGTGGACTTGGACGTGGTGGTCGTGCGCGTGGTGGGCTGTCGGGTGGCGTTTCGGGTAACGGACGCTATCAGTACCTGCTCTAGACCGGTCCTCGCCGCGACTTCATTTGCGGTAAGATCGGTCACACCTCTGTCCGCAATTTCTGTCGCCTGGACGACCTGTTTTGTCAGCGCTTCGGCCCGTCGCCCAACCTCCCCGACTGGCACAGCTTGCTTCGCCGTAGCGTTCAGATCTTTGATATGGACATGGATGATATTGCTGCTACCTTGCATGTAATGTATGCTGATGAATCTAGTGTGACTGTTTCTTACTTCCCCTTGTTGCCTAGTGTAGGCATGTCTAGTCGTGCCTCTCCTTCTGTGTCAGGCGTACGATCCCCTGCTTTGTTTAGCCTTGGTTCTTCCGTCGCTGCTCCAACTCCGGACGCCACTGACGCACTCTCCTTAACCCTGGACTCTGTCGCTTCTCGGTGTTTCTTTCGCGATCCCACTACGCTGACGCCGCTTCCTGCTCTTGCTGCGGTTTCTCTTGCTGACCCCTCCTCCGGCCCGTTAGTCGCTCCTCCACGCCTGCACATCCCCTCGTTCTCCAGGAACCTAGTTGGTGTTGGCTGCCTCCAGGACCTTGGCGTCACCACTACGTTCCCTGGTCACGAGCGATACGCTGTCTGTACTGAAGCCGCCACTGGTGCCCCCCTGTCCACGTTCCCCCGGGACCCGGTGTCCGGACTGTTCACACTGGACACCGCGACCCCCCCGGTTGGGACGTCCCCTCAGATGGCTGCGTCTACCCAGGTTGCTGCTGCCTGCTCCTGTCGGTCGCTCACTCACCCGACACTTCTGTGGCACCACCGTTTAGGTTATTCTGCACTCCCGCGTCTGCGTCACATGTCACAGCACGGTCTCGTCCTAGGTCTCCCAGGGTCGTTCCCCGAATTGCCCTCCTCTCCAGCACCACCGTGCACCCCCTGGGTCGAGGGCCGGCTCCGCCGTGCCCCTCACTACTCCTCGTTCCCCCCTACCGACACACCGCTACAGACTCTGCACATGGACGTCTGGGGCCCCGCCCCCGTCCATGGGCCGCGTCAAGAGCGCTACTTCCTAGTGCTTGTCGACGACTACACGCGCTACACCACTGTGTTTCCCCTGGAGCGGAAGGCCGACGCGCCTGACATTCTCATCCCGTGGCTTGTCTCTGCGCGTGTCCACCGCGGTCTCCCTGTCTTGCGTCTCCACTCCGACAGGGGCGGCGAATTTGCCTCGGGAGTTCTTGGCCGTTTCTGTCGCGCGGAGGGCATCACCTAGAAGTTCACCTTGCCGGACTCCCCGCAGCAGAATGGGGTCGCTGAATGACGCATCGGTTTGGTCATGGAGGTGGCTCGTACCTCCATGATCCATACCGATGCACCCCATTTTCTGTGCCCGTTCGTCGTTCCCTATGCCGTTCACCAGCTTAACCTGTGGCCACACCCCCAACAGCCGCAGGTTTTGCCGACCCTTCTTTGGACCAGGTCTCCTAGTGACGCGTCAGCGTTTCACATCTGGGGCTGCCTTGCTCTCGTTCGTGCCTCTGGCACGGACAAGCACACTGCCCGCACCCTCCCCTATGTCTTCCTCGGTTTCCCCCTTGACTCGCCCAACTGGCACTTCTACAGCCCGCAGTCTCACCGGTTCTTTCCCTCCCACGACGTCAACTTTGACGATTCCGTCTCCTTCTACCGTCCCTTCCCCCACCGAGGTCCCCTGGTTACTCCCCCCCTCTTCCTGGTCACCCCTTACCCGGTGGCCCTTGCCCCTCCCCCTCCCCCTCCCCGTCCTGCCCCGTCTGGTGTGTCCCACGTCACCCCCCTCCCGTCGGTTGTCCTAGTCGAGGAGTCTGCTGACTTTGGTGGTCCTGCGGCGCAGTCCTCGTCGCCTGCCCCTCCTTAGAAATCCCCTCCTCCGCCGCCTCCGCAGTTGCCGTTACTGCCCCAGCCGTTGTTACAGTCGTCATCGTTGCAGCCATCGTCGAAGGAGTTCGTTGACTCTAGGGGTGCTGGCGTTGGGGTGGGTACTCATCCTGGGGTTCCTGTTCTGCCTTGTCTAGGCGGGCCTGGGGGTTGGTACCGGTGCTCGAGCAGTTTCAGGCTCTGGGGTGTTCCTTCTGGGGGTGCTGGAGTGGAGTGTTCCGTTGGTAGCCATGGAGCAGCTTGCGGTCCCGGCGTTGGTGCCGTGTCGCCGGAGCAGCAGTCACCGCCGGTGTCAGCCCTTCGCCTGCTCGGCCTTCCGTCCCTTGACCCTGCGTCTGCGCCTCGCCCCTTGTCTCCTCCTCTCCCTGTCTACGGCCCTGTGTTCCCTCCCCCGGACTCGACTCCGGCTCGTCTTCCCCCTCGTTCCCCTCCTGTGTCCCCTCCTTTGTCTCCTGACCCGACTCCTACGTCTCACGTCTGGTCTCGCCGTCCATCCCGTGCTCGCCCCGTCTGCCCTGTCCCGCGGTCTCACCCTATGTTGTTTCGTTCCCACGCGTCTCGTCTCCCCTCCTGTCGTCGCCTCCTCCGTCCTCCCTTGTTGTTGCGCCTCCCCCTCTGTCTGACTGCCTTCGTGCCACTCGTCCTCTTGTTCCTCGGGTCATTGCCTCTCTCGTTATCGACCCGTCTGTTCCGGTCTCGTCTCTTGACGCTCTTGTTGCTGCGGTAGCCGACTTCGCCTCTACCCGCCGCCTTGACTACGTCCCTGCTCTTGTCTCTGACCTTGCCTGTCCTCCGTCTGTCGCGGGTGCTCTTGCCCTCGGCAGTGACGTCCTGGAGGACCGCCAGTACGAGCTTGCTTTCCTGTCCGAGGCTGCTCCCCATCTCTGTTCCATGCTGCTAGTCCCTGAGGGTGACCCAGACGCGTTCGACATCCCGACCCCTCGCACTTACGCTGAGGCGACCTCGGAACCTTGGGCCTCTCAGTGGACAGCTGCCATGGAGCAGGAGATGGCATCTTGCAGATCCACCTGCACCTACGTCGATGCAGTTCCCCCACCTGGGGTGAACGTAGTCGATGACTGCTGGCTCTTCAAGGTGAAGCGCCCTCCTGGAGAGCCGCCTGTATTAAAGGCGCGCTACATGGCTAGAGGCTTTAGTCACGTGAGGGGGTGGACTTCTTTCAGACCTTCGCTCTGACCCCGAAGATGACTACTCTTCGGGCACTGCTACACATAGCAGCACAGCGCGACTACGAGTTACACTCCCTCGACTTGTCCACTGCGTTTCTTCAGGGCAGTCTACACGAGCAGGTCTACCTGCGCCGACCTCAGGGGTTTACTTGTACCTTCCCTCTTGGGACTCAGTGGCTCCTGCGTTGCCCAGTCTACGACTTGCGCCAGGCGCCCCGCGAGTGGCACGACACGCTGCGTGCTACCCTTGCAGACCTGCAGTTCTTTCTGTTCTCTGCAGACCCCTCGCTCTTCATTCGTTCTGGCCATACTCCGTTATACATCCTTGTTTACGTAGACGATCTGGTCTTTGCCACTGCAGACACCGCCGTGCTGGCCTTTGTGAAGGCTTAGCTGCTGAGGAGACACACCTCCACTGTCCTAGGAGAGCTGCGCCACTACCTGGGCCTGCACATCTCCAGAGACAGAGCAGCGCGCACCATCACTCTCATCTAGTCACACTTGGTGTGCCAGGTCCTTCAGAGGTTCGGTTTTCTGTTCTCCTCCACACAGCCCACACCTCTTCCGGTAGATCACAGGCTCTCTGCTCCAGTCCCTGAGGAGTAAGCAGAGCCCAGTGGTCCTTACGCAGAGCTGATGGGTTACCTCATGTACCTGATGACTTGCACTCGTCCAGATCTCGCATACCCTCTCAGCATCCTGCTCGCTTTGTGGCCACAGGCAAACACCGACCTTAGCACTGGTCTGCAGCTAAGAGGGTTTTGCGTTGTCTCGCGAGTACATCAGGCTTGGGGTTAGTACTGGGAGGACGCAGGCCAGTGGTCCTTACTGGGCACACAGACGCTGCTTGGGCAGATGACGCCGAGACCCTTAGGTCCTCACAGGGCTACTGCTTTTGTCTTGGCTCAGGTGCTATCTCGTGGAGAGCTACTCGCTCTTCGTCTGTTGCCCAGTCCAGCTGTGAGGTCGAGATCTACGCCGGTGCCATGGCGGCACAGGAGCTCCGTTGGCTGACCTCCTTGCTCACCGACTTAGGTGAGCGGCCTAGCTTTGCCCCGGTCCAGTACGCGGACAACAGGGCCATGATCCTCCTGTGTCAGGACTCGACTTGAGGGCAGAGCGAAGCGCATCCAGCTGCGGTACTTCCTCCTGCGCGAGCTGCAGCAGCGTCGCCAGGCTCGTGTAGTACACTTGGCCTCCGGTGCCAACACAGCTGATATCTTTACGAAGGCGCTTGCGCCTAAAGATCATCAGCGGCACTGCTTACAGCTTGGTCTTGTTCCAGTTGCCTCGCACTTGCTAGGACCTTGACTGCGTACAGACATTGTATATATGTATTACCCAGACTGGCCTTGTGGCTTCTCTCAGTGGTTGGACTAGTAGTGCTGCCCTGGACTTGCTCCTGTTTTGTCAGTACTCCTATTGACTGGTGTTTAGACCCTTGCCTCAGAGGCTCGACTAGTAGTGCCGCCCTGAGCTACTTGTTCACGTTTTAGGCATTGCCCCTATATAGTCTAGGGGGTGTGTCAAACTTATCTTAGTATTTTGCTGTAGACTATACAGGTTTGTGCCTTAGAGGGTACAACTCCCTAGCTTATATTACCTTGTACTCTCCTATTCTAACGATTCATTCAGTTTTGAGAGATATTGCTGCGTGATACCGGTATGTAAGAATGCACTGCTTGTGGGGTTTGTGGTTTCATTCACACATTGCTGGGTGTGAAAAAAAAAAGCTGCTCAATGCATTAGGCACAAGAAAACAATGCCCTTATTGGGCGAGCTACAAAAATGAATGTACCGTAGTACACCGGTATCTAGATAGGCCTGTACAGCTAGCTGCCATGCACCAACCAATCTACACTTGAGTACTCTGGCACCTCTGGCTTAAGAGGACCTCAGTAACGAGGATACGAGCCACCATATGCAGGTGGGTACGAGGGAGGATAAGGAGACTGCCCATAGGGGTATGCCGGAGGAGGAGGGTACGAAACAGGTGGGGCATATGGCTGGGGCGGGTAGCTTGGGGGGTAGGCAGAAGGAGGAGCAGAGTACGCAGGTTGGGGATAGGCTGATGGAGCGTAGGGTGAAGCTGAGTACTGCATGGGGAAACGAGGTGAGGGGCGAGGGGCAAAGAGACGGGCATGGTGAGGGTTTAAGGGAAGGGTGAGGGGTGAAGACGGAAACTTGAGGGTCATGTGAATAGGGGATGGGAATGATGATGAGGAGGAGCAATTGGGTGATGGATGAGGTTTGTAGCGTGGGAAGCAAAGAAGAAAATCGGGTGCAGAAGAGGCGCAAGTCATGCTGACGAGACGTGCGGGGGTTGGGTGTGCATCGGAGATGTGAAAGGAAGTGGAGTAAGGTGTGCATGGGAGAAGCGGAGCAGGAAAGCAGGGTGGGCTCACCTGAGGGCGGTACTTGAGAATGACACGCAACGAGCCATGCTGGCTGCACGGGCGAGGGATGAAGGTCCAAGGGACAAGGGAGAGGGGGCAAGGGAGAGGGGGCAAGGGAGAGGGGCCATGGATCAGTGAGGGTTGGATAAAGAAGGCACACGCCGTAAATATGACATCTGAGGACAGTGGTGAACGTGGGGGGCGTGGCATACTGGGAAGAACCGACGCACAATTGGAACAACAGCGGAAAGCTATCTCTTGGCCCACCCGCCCGCCCGCCTGCCTGCCGCCCCTGCACTCACTGCCGCCTCTGCACTCACTGCCGCCCCTGCACTCACTGCCGTCCCTGCACTCACTGCCGCCCCTGCACTCACTGCCGCCCCTGCACTCACTGCCGCCCCTGCAAACACTGCAGCCCCTGCACTCACTGCCGCCCCTGCACTCACTGCTGCCTCTTGTTGTAGACTGGGAAGTACCCGTCCTCCATGCCAGTGGCCAACACCCTCTCCAACCCTATTCTGCGCACCAGAACGCACGAGGCAGAGGAGAAGCACAGAGGGATAAGATGGGGGCACAGCTGCTTCAAGAGATGGCCGCCAGATTAAAAAACACGACTGAGGTATAGAGTCGGCACATGCATGACATAGAGTCGGCTGTAACATACCAGGCACGACGGAAATGTTGGAAGGGGGGGGAGAGGAGGGGAAGGGCGGAAGGTAAAGAGAGGAGGGAGTGGACGGGGGAGCGGGAGGGACGGGGGGGAGGGAGGGAGGGAGGGAGGGAGGGAGGGAGGGAGGAGGCGGGGTGGGTTGGCGACCTGCAGGAGCCGATGACGTTGTCTCGGAGAACGTTTTCGTTCCAGATGACGATGGTGACCTCGTTGAGCCCCGGCAGCAGCGACAGCGTGAACGTCGAGTTGAACGCCGGGTTCGTGCCGCCGTCTGGCGGAGGGGGGAGGGACGGGAACAAGGGGGCGCGGGGAGAGAGGATGACAAAGTGGCGGGGGAACATACGCATGATCACGACGAGAGCGGAGAGGGGATTTGGGGGCCGGGGGGGGCGGGGGGTGGGGTGGGGGGTGGTGAGTGAGAGAGAACGGTTCAGGTAGTAGCGGAGTGATGCAGAGCGCGGAGAGAGGAGGCGCGCAGGAAGCAGAAACGAACCCCGAACGCGAACGCGAACGCGAACGCGAAGCCGAGCGCGAGACACAACGCCGGCACGTGATGCTGCGGCGAGGGCGAGGGTGAGGGTGAGGGCTACGAACCTATGTCTGTTTTGGAGCGGAATCGCTGCTGGCCATACTCAAGCACGACGTACGGGTCCTGGCGTGTGAAGACCTCCTTGTCCGTCAGCCCCACGCCGCCGATCACTGCGCACGCGCGCACGGGGAAGCACAGGGGAGCGCAGGAGAGGAGGAGAGGAGGAGTGGGGAGTCAAGGAAGGGCGCGTGCGGGTGACGTCTAGAGGCAGTTTTGTTAGGCGTGGGCGGCGAGAAAGCGGGTACGAGGACTGCGAAAGGACTATAGTCCGATTCTCAATCGCCTGCTACGCTGTAGTGATTCGGGTGATGCGGGTGTGCTCGCTTGCTGAGACGACGATCTTAACGCGTCGCCGACCAGGGAGGAGAGGGGGTATGGCAAGAATCGGCGTCACTACCTCACGATGTCGCCAAAATTCGCGACACGACATGCATCTGACAAGGCGTCGCGACTAAGTGGAGGAAACAAATTCGCCCCAGGTTTGACAGGTCGGTGTGGCGGAGCATATCGCTCGACTACAGACGACGATGGACAGCTGACAGTACCAGCCTTTAACATTAAAGAGAATAAAATAAAATAGTAATAAAAGAAACCACGACGAAAATTCCAAGTAAACGTTGGACGAGGTGCACGGGGGCCGGGATGCGTACCTGTCACTTCGAGGGTACTTGACATCACGCCGCTGATGGGACTGATATGACTGATGTCCGCGAGATGGGCGTACTGGGGCGCGGAACACTAAAGAGTTGACTTCGTAAGCTAAACGGATGGACTGGAAACGGTCGACTAGCGAAGGATACCGCTAGCTGAAAGACGGGCACGACGGATACGGCTTCGATTTCTACCAGGTTCGTGCGACAGGCTTGCGAGACGGGGTGATTGAGAAAGCAAAACTCTATGTAAGTGCTAGTTAGCAGGATGAATGAGGATCAGGGGGTTATTGCTGAGCTCTTATTGAAGCATTGAGGAGGGGGAGGGGGAGGAGCGGAGATGAGCCAATTGGTGAAGGATGAGGAAAGGCGGACCACGTGTTTGGCGCGCTTCGGGCTCGGCCCAGAAAAGATTGCTTGCAGGCAGACGCTGCTCCCGCGCCCATCGTGGCTGGTGCTGCCCTGCGCTGGTGAAAATGGGTTAGCTTTCTGCTTCCCCGAAGGCGGCACGTGCTGTGTGCTTTTGCGGCGCTGGAGTCCGAACACGTTTTGATGTTTCGGGTTAGCCTAAAGGCTCTGTGTGTACCCGGAGTTTTACGAGAATACGAGAGATATGCCTGTTGGCAAGGTGCCGGGCCTCGCAACGGAGGGAACCTGGATTTTGGGGGAGCGGCTGAAAAAACACTCGTAACATGCATCAAATCATAACCATCGGGTCCTCTTGCTCAGAGTGACGCTTCCCAAACAAATGACACGCCGGCTACAAAGAAATTGACGTGTCACCAGGCCATGCTTGCACATCTTGAGCAACACTAAACACAACAGTACGAACCACATAACAAAAAGGGTACGCCTACAAACAAATATTAGCTAATGCAAAGGGCATGCATCATGATCAAAACACACTTAAAGCGAGCGTACAGACCAAACTCAAGAGTCAAAGGTTTTGAGTCCCCCGACGCACGAAAACTAACGCGAAAAACACACGGTAACCAAATATCGGCAGGAGGGGGTGCGATTTTGATTTGGGAAGATTCTGATTGGCTATGCGACGGAACAAGCGAAGCCTCTTCCCCCCGCCACACCAAGACCCAAAGCTTTTGCTTTTTACTCTGTACTCGGTGGCCATGGCTCCTTCCCGTCCATTCTTGCTCCCTAACACAGCGCTTACCTCCTATTTCGTCATTCACTGGAAAGGTGCGGCTTATTAGTAACGTTTACACATTCCCATAATCCTGTGCGCGACAGCTACCTGCCGCATCTCCGTTACTTCACGCGACCAGCGATTTCGTACCCGATCGGCCACTGTGCTGCATGTCACGCTATCATTTCAGCGCTTGCCACGCGAACACCTGATTAGCGAGCCCTAAGATATTTCCTCGCCAGTGCGCCCAAATATCTCGCCCGTCGCCTCACTTCCCACTCCCCGCTCCTCGCAGCAGCTGCAAGAGCGCTGCCCCGCTTTCCCACTCATCCGCATTCCCCGTTTCCCGCCCCGCCCGCTGCATCTGCCTGCATTCGCCTCCCCGCTTTTCTGCACTCAAGCTGCCCCTGCTCTCCCGCTTCCCGGATCCCGCTTCCTGCTCTCTCGATTCCCACTTCCCCGATTCCACTTTCCTCCCAACCCGCTTTCCCGCATTCCCGCTTTCCCGCTTCCCCGCTTTCCCCCAGCACCCATTCTCACCCCCTTTCCCATCCTCGCCGGCCCTCCCATGACTTTCCGTCGCCGCGTCCATCCCTTCCTATCCCCGCGCCCATCCCTTCCTATCCCCGCGCCCATCCCTTCCTATCCCCGCGCCCATCCCTTCCTATCCCCGCGCCCATCCCTTCCTATCCCCGCGCCCATCCCTTCCTATCCCCGCGCCCATCCCTTCCTATCCCCGCGCCCATCCCTTCCTATCCCCGCGCCCATCCCTTCCTATCCCCGCGCCCATCCCTTCCTATCCCCGCGCCCATCCCTTCCTATCCCCGCGCCCATCCCTTCCTATCCCCGCGCCCATCCCTTCCTATCCACGCGCCCATCCCTTCCTATCCTCGCGCCCATCCCTTCCTATCCCCGCGCCCATCCCTTCCTATCCCCTCGCCTATCCCTTCCTATCCCCTCGCCTATCCCTTTGCGTAGCTCATCGGTCCATTCCCTCACTCAAGCTCTTGCCCTGTCCGCCCGCCCCTCCCCCTGTTATCCCTCCCAACCTTCCCACCATATCCCTATATCCCCTGTTATCCTCACACTGCCCCTCTCTCTCTCCCGCGTTCTGCCCCTCTCTCTCTCCTCCGCAGCCCAACTCACTCTCCCCCGCTCTGCGCACCTCTCTCCCCTCCCACCGGCTACCTCTCTCACGCCTACTCCACGTCACCATTCCCCCGACTCCCCTCCCTCGTTACCCTTGCTCTGCCCACCTCTATCCCCCCAGCTCTTCCAAAGGTGGGCTCTGGTGGGGGGCCAGGTGGGTTCTGGTGTGGGGGGAGGTGGGCTCTGGTGGGGCGGGAGGTGGACTCTGGTTGGGGGAGGGGTGAGCTCTGGTGGGGGGGAAAGGAGGGCTCTGGTGGGGGGAAAGGAGGGCTCTGGTGGGGGGGAAAGGAGGGCTCTGGTGGGGGGGAAAGGTGGGCTCTGGTGGGGGGGAAAGGAGGGCTCTTGTTGGGGGGAAAGGAGGGCTCTGGTGGGGGGGAAAGGAGGGCTCTAGGAGGGGGGGAAGGAGGGCTATGGGAGGGGGAAAGGAGGGCTATGGGAGGGGGAGAAGGAGGGCTATGGGAGAAGGGGAAGCAGGGCTATGGGAGGGGGGGAAGGAGGGGCATGGCAGCGGGGGAAAGGAGGTTCTTGGGAGGGGGGGAGAAGTAGGGGTCTGGATGGGAGGGAGGCGGGTTTTCTCTCTCGCCCCCCCCCCCCTATCTCTATCTATCAATCTCTCTCTGTCTCTCTCTCTCTCTCTCTCTCTCTCTCTCTCTCTCTCTCTCTCTCTCTCTCTCTCTCTCTCTCTCTCTTTCTCTCTTTCTTTTTCTCTCCGCCTCTCTCTCTCTGGCCCCCTCCACTCACTCCTCCAAATGCCCTTCTCACTCTGGTTTCTTATTTGCGACCATCCAACTGTCCCCCTCCCCCCCCCCCCCCCCCCCCTCTCTCCCCCCTCTTATTGTCGTACCCACCGCTTCCAACGCCACCCCTCATGATCCCCGCGCCTATCCCTTCCTAAAACCATTCCGTCGTACCTCCTGCTCCCACTCCGTCTTACCCCCTGCTCCCACTCAGTGCTGTGAGGGGGGAAGCACAGTGCTGTGAGGGGGGAAGCACAGTGCTGTGAGGGGGGAAGCACAGTGCTGTGACGGGGGAAGCACAGTGCTGTGAGGGGGGAAGCACAGTGCTGTGACGTGGGAAGCATATTGCTGAGAGGGGGGAAGCATAGCTCTGTGAGGGGGGAAGCATAGCACTGTGCTCCTCTCCCCGTGTTTTTCGGGAGGGGTAGGCGGGCTCTGGTGGGGGGGAGAGGTGACATATGGTGGGGGTTTCCTTGGTCGTGCTGCATTGTGTCTTGCTTCTTGCCTAATAAAAATGACAATCGCGCCCTTCTCGTTTGTGTACGTTTAAAAACCCTGACTTTGCACTCAGTGGGAACTAGATCCCTGATATTTTCAAGTCGTGTGCTTCATTGTTTAAATATTGTCCTGTTTTTGTGTAAACGTAGATGCGTTGTGGTGGTTTCTACGTTTCTACGTTTTCACGAGCTTCAGCAACACTGTAGGTGCTTTTCTCCGTAAATGAGTTTTACTGTTTCAATTTGTCTGAACAGTGCTTTCGCGTGTTCGACGGGCAGCGTCGCCCGCTGTACCCTTGCGACCTCGCCGGTTTTGGCGAGATCATTAACAGCCGTCGCGAGACCCCTAGCCTTTCGCGTGGGGCCCGCCCCGTTTTTGCGACACTTGTGCCCCTCGCGATTTTCGCGACCCCCAACTCAAGATTCAAAGCCTTTGAATCTTGAGTTTGGTCTGTACGCTCGCTTTAAGTATGGGATCTACTCTCAGAACTAGAATTGAATGATTAGAGAGAGAGAGTACATGCACATATACCTAAATGTTGTACCCTCTAGGAGGTTACCCTATACGGTCTATACCAACATGATAAATAAACATGTTTGACACACCCCCTGGACTGCATAGGGGAATGTCCTAGACAAGCAGCTCAGGGCGGCACTACTAGTCCAGCCTCTGAGACAAGGGTCTAAAAGACCAGTCAGAGGGAGTACAGACAAGACAAGAACAAGTACAGGGCGGCACTACTAGTCCAACCACTGTGAGAGGACACAAGTCCAGTCTGAGTGTACACATATATATAGGACAGTACAAAGTCAAGGCACGAGTAAGTGAGGGACTACAGGAACCAGACCAAGCTGTACACAGTGCCGCTGATGATCTTTAGGCGCAAGCGCCTTCGTAAAGATATCAGCTGTGTTGGCACCGGAGGCCAAGTGTACTACGCGAGCCTGGCGACGCTGCTCTAGCTCGCGCAGGAGGAAGTACCGCAGCTGAATGTGCTTCGCTCTGCCCTCGAGTCGAGGCTCCTGACACAGGAGGATCATGGCCCTGTTGTCAGCGTACAGGACCGGGGCAGAGCTAGGCCGCTCACCTAAGTCAGTGAGCAAGAAGGTCAGCCAGCGGAGCTCCTGTGCCGCCATGGCACCGGCGTAGATCTCAGCCTCACAGCTGGACTGGGCAACAGACGAGGAGCGGGTAGCTCTCCACGAGACAGCACCTGAGCCAAGGCTAAAGCAGTAGCTCTGGGAAGACCTGAGCGTCTCGGCGTCGTCTGCCCAAGAAGCGTCTGTGTGTCCAGTAAGGACCACTGGCCTGCGTCCGCCTAGCACTAACCCCATGCCCGATGTACTTGCAAGATAACGCAAAACCCTCTTAGCGGCAGACCAGTGCTGAGGTCGGTGTCTGCCTGTGGCCACGAAACGAGCCAGGATGCTGAGAGGGTATGCGAGATCTGGGGGAGTGCAAGTCATCAGGTACATGAGGCAACCCACTAGCTCAGCGTAAGGACCACTGGGATCTACCGACGCCTCAGGAACTGGAGCGGAGAGTCTGTGGTCCAGAGGAAGAGGGGTGGGCTGTGCGGAGGAGAACTGAAGACCGAACCTCTGAAGGACCTGGCGCACCAAGTGTGACTGAGTTAGGGTGATGGTGCGCGCGGCTCTGTCCCTGGAGATCTGCAAGCCAAGGTAACGGCGCAGCTCTCCAAGGTCAGTGCAGGTGTGTCTCTTCAGCAGCTC